ATCAACCAGCTGAACAGTCCTAACCTTACAACAGGTGCCTTCAGTTAGTCAGTCGACAGGGTTAGTCACAGGGCCTGTCTTTAGTCACCTGCTCAAAAGATGCTGGTCTCTTGGCTCCCCAGGGCTTGGCTTGGCTACAAAGTTTAGGATCCTGTAACCTTTTCAAGTGTGATAATTCCTTCACATTGACTATGGGACTTTCCAGATCCCAGTCCTTTTGTCTACCCCAGCAGAGGCTATGAGGGAGATAGTAGGGAAAGGAAGCCACTTAGGGTGTTATTGCTATGAACAGACACCATGACCAAGGCAACTCTTCTAAGGACAACATTTAATTGGGGCTGGCTTACAGGTTCAGAGGTTCAGTCCATTATCAAGGCGGGATCATGGCAGCAACCAGGCAGGCATGGTGCAGGAGGACCTGAGAGTTCTAAATCTTGTTTGGAAGGCAAACAGAAGACTGGCTTCCAGGGAGCTAGGATTGAGGGTCTTAAAGCCCATGCCCACAGTGACACACTTCTTCCAACAAGGCCACACCTCCTAATAGTGCCACTCCCTGGGCCAAGCATATTCAAACCATCACCAGGAGTGAGGAATGGTGCATGTTCCTGACTTCTAATCCTGATTGCTGTGGTAGCCAGTCCCTGTCCTGTAGCCACCGTGAATGTTAAGGTCAGTCAGAGCCAGCATGTATGCCTGAGGTACAGGAGGCTTGCTTTCTCAGGGTAATACTACGTATTTAGAAACAGAAGGAGAAGGGGTCATTTATCTCTTTGTAGCCAAAGGAGAGGAGGCAGCAGTGTGCTCAGGTGTGCAGATCGGAAAGGAGCCCACGGGAAACGGTTCTTCCTCCGCAAAGCTCAGATGTGAGTGCAAGGTTGTGGTGAGGGCTGTCCTGGAACCCTGGTGCACATGTGTGCCGTGTTCCAACTGCTTGCCCTTCTTCATTGGTATGCCGGTTTGTTTATTTGGGAAATGTGTGCTCGTTAGTGTAGGCATGTGCATTTGTGTGAGGGGACTGGCGGTTGACAGGGATCTTTTCTGGTTCACCTTATCTTTTGAGACAAGGCCTCCAACTGAACCCGAAGTTCATTGGTTCAGCCGAGGTGTCCAGCCAGTGAACTCAAGGAACCGCCAGGTCCCTCCCCTTCCCACTCAGTGCTGGGGCTGCAGAAGTTTATCCCCACCCTGGGTTTTGCCTGGGTGTGGTGATCTGAACTCAGGTCCTTGCACTTGTATGACAAGTTCGTGACCTGCTGAGCCCCCTCCCCAGCCCGTTATCTTTCCTCAGATGAGGTTATAAATTTGAGAGCGCCTAACAAAATAGGGTCTCTGTGTTTAATTTTGAGCATTTCTCCGAATTACAAAAATACTTAGTGAGGCCAATATGGTGGCTCACACAGGGAATTCCAGCATTGTGAGGTGGTAGCAGGAGAACTGCTCCAAGTTGGAGGCCATCCTTGGCTACAATCAGGAGAGATAGCTCGGTAATTGAGGTTTTTTTTCTGCTAACCCTGACAACTTGAGTTCAGTCCCTAAGACTGTGGAATGGGAACCCCACCTCTCCTAGATTGTGTTTTGACTACACATGCAGGCTGTAGTCTGCACACACGTGTACACACACAGTAATTAAAAACAAAAAACAGGCTCAGTGGGTAAAGGAGTTTGCTTTGTAAGCCTGGTAACCGGAGTCCGGTCCCTGGAACCCATTAAAAAGTAGAAGGAGAAAGTTTATCCCACAAAGTTGTCTTCAGATTTCCACAAGAGGTGTGTAGCACACATGCCCACACAGCATGTGCCCCATCCAGCAGGGCAGTGAGCAGGGTCTGAGGGATCACCTGAAAGAGAGAATGGGGGAAAACAGGCGAATGCAAAGAACCACGGCCTGTCTATAGGCTGATCAAACCGTTACTTCTACTTTTTCACACAGGGGTTATAAACACATAAAGGCAGGATGTGGGGAAAGGAATGACACAGGACCATAGGTGTTCTCAGGGGGAGAACAGATATCTTCCAGAACAGGGTATCAGCTGGGTGAAAAAGCAGGGAACAGGTCACTATGACTCTGTCTATGATTCACTTGTTTCTTATCTAAGCTGGTACTTTCCACCAAGGCTCCCTATCCACAAGGTCTATGACTACTAGTTCTTATCCAGACTGGTAAATTTCCACTAAGGCTGCCTGTTTACAAGATCTTACAGCTATCTGTTCTAGGGTCAGTGTTTTCCCACAGAGATTAAGACTTTGTGTTAGCAGGTGTGTATGACTGACTCAGGCCTATTGCTGATTTTAGGCCTTCAGTGTAAGCAAGGCTGGTCCTGACAAGCATGCACACGCGTACATACACAATTACATAGCACAGTTTTTACATACATAATACATACATACATACATACATACATACAGTTTTTAAATTAAGGAAAACAAATTTATGAGATGATAATCTGCTTTTTTTAAAGGTTTCAAGAAGGCTTTGTATAAACTTGTACTTTAACTGAGAATATGCTTATCATACGATTCATACTCTAGTTATCTCAGTCCTTAATTTTCCGGCATTCCATACCCCCCACCCCCCTCATTTAAGGAAGGAGAGCAGGGCTTCCATGACAGTCTTCATGTTGAGCAAGTGTCACAGCACCGAATGCTGCAGAGCGGGGGATTTGCAGTCCTTTGGCTTGGAGGAGTTTTGTTTTCGGCGCCATGGCAGGATTGGCAAGCGCTTGGTTTTGGATTTCCTCTGTGCTTGCTTTGAATTTATTTCTCTGATCCGAGCTCCCCAAGCCCCTGGCAGAACCACGCTCATCAGAACCATGCTCATGGCTCACACTGGCTCTGGGGAAGGAGCCTTCTGCACTCCACAAGGGACGTAGGGTGTCTGAATGAGAGGAAAGGCCGGTGAGGTCGATGAGCTGTGCCTTCAGAGGAGAAATAAGGCTGAATCTCTGGCTAACTCTGGTCCGAGATAGGGTGCCGGTTGTTTCCTCCATTCGTGACAGTGATGAGATGCTTGCCTTAAGCTTCTGTTCTGGGGCAGAGGTCGGCAGCTGTGCTGGACAGCTGCTGTTGGGACACTTGCCAACTGGTGGTATAAGTAGGTATAAAACTTCACTCAATACTCCTTTTTAAGTTGAGAGGGTAATTTGTTTTTTTTTTTTTTTTTCTCCCCGAGACAGGGTTTTTCTGTGTAGCCTTGGCTGTCTTAGAACTCACTCTGTAAGCCGGGCGGTGGTGGCGCACGCCTTTAATCCCAGCACTTGGGAGGCAGAGGCAGGCGGATTTCTGAGTTCGAGGCCAGCCTGGTCTACAGAGTGAGTTCCAGGACAGCCAGGGCTATACAGAGAAACCTTGTCTCGAAAAACCAAAAAAAAAAAAAAAGAACTCACTCTGTAGACCATGCTGGCCTTAAAGGTGTGCGCCACCATGCCCGGAGGGTAATTTTTTTTAATGTTTATGTGTTTGTTTATAACTCATACATGTCTCAAGCTGCTTTACTTGAAAATGAATACTTTTAGTACTTAGGACGTTTTGCTGGTGCCGACGTGTGATATTGAAGTGGGGCCCACAGTGTCTTGATAAAGGAATGGGCAAGATTATGGACTTGGCACTGCCCTGAGCGGGCCAAGAAATCACCAGGGAGGATAGTTCTTGACCGGATTCCTTTAGCTCTCTGCAGGCTGGGGGTGGAAGCTGCGTGGGAAGTCTTTGTGTCACTCTTTCCCTTTCCCCGTGGCAGGACCACAGAGTTTATGATACAGCTTCTGTGTGACATCCAGACATCGCTTAGCGTTTTCAGCTCCTAACCTGTACGACTGCTAGTCTGCACGTGGGTAACAATAGAAGACAGCATGTAGGGGTCAGGTTATCTCACACCAAGCTCTCTGGTCCAGTTCCATGTAGCTCCACACCCTCACGTGTGGGATGAGCAAGGCCAGCAGGAGTGAGGAGATGGAAGCCATAAGCTGCAAAGTCAGGTGACTTCTGAGAGGGATTGATAGTGAAGGCGGTTGGGTAACGAAGGAAAAGAACTCCGGAAGTCACAGACTGAAGGGGAGAGGGCCGCTCAGCTCCTGGCTCCTTTCCTGTCTGCCTAAACCACAGCTTTCTCCTAAACCACAGGGTTATAAAGGAACTCGGAGGACTGGGGTGTTAGGGCCAGGCCTCCAGGGAAAGGGTAAGAGCAAAGGTCTGGGAATGGCAGACCGCACAGATCTACAATGTCATGACTGAAAAACAACAACAAAAATAAACCCACTTTGTTTCCTTTCTCCGGCTTCTTTTCTTCACTCCTCACGCTGGAGAGTGAACCCAGGGCCTTATGAATTATAAATAAGTATTCTGTGGATGAACTGCACCCCTGACACCCCACACTTGTAAAACTATGATTACCAGGGGCTGGAGACACAGCTGAGCAGTTAAAAGCACTGGCTGCTGTTTCAGAGGACCTGGGTTCAGTTCCCAGCACCCACGTAGTAGCTCACAACCGTCTGTAACCCCAGTTCCAGGGGATCTGACAACCTCACACAGACATACGTGGAAGCATAGCGAGTTCCCATAAGACTAACACAAAACCCTCCTATCAGAGCTGGGGAAGGCAACCTGGTAGGACTTAGGGTCTCAAGAGCAGGGGGAAGGTGTGACCTTAACTTTCCCAACTTCAGTTCTGCTAATTGAAACATTTCTGACATCTGGCCTGGAAACCAGTTTGGTGTTTGTGAGTAGCCTTTCAGCTGAGCCACAGTGTGTGGATTCTACAGGGTGTGAGCATCAGACAGGCCACTCTGCAGCAGGGCATTCATTTCCTTTACATTTGCTCAGTACCACGGTACTAGACTAGCACGGACAGATCACATTAGTGTGTGGAGCTCTTTAGGCTGTCATGGGCGAGCTAAGAGGAGAAGAAAGATGTGTCTGCTTGTTGTGCTAAAGTCACACACTGCAGACTCTCTACCAAAGGGGGAAAGAATTCTTTAATAGAGTTTTCTTTCTTCTTCTTTTTTTTTTAGACTCTCGAGAAGCCGATGAACAGTTGGTAGCAGAAGTAATTGAAAAATGTTCACCTGATGCATGCTCTAGATCTTCAGAAAATGAAGTGCCACAGGCGACGACCGATTCTCACTCCGTCAAGGATGTCAAAGGGAAGGCGGAACATGATGTTAGCAAGATCTCAGTAGTGAGGCCATTTTCAATAGAAACCAGGAATTGCACAGATGACCCTGCGGCTGTTGGAACAACAGGAGCCCATGGCTGTGTCCCTGTGCTCCCAGGAAAGGCCTTCCCTTCCACCACTCTGGAAGCCACACAGGACAAGCCAATGGTGGACGGAGGCATGGGGGTTACATTGGAGGCTTTTACAGAAGCCAGTCTGAAGACTGGAGGCCCCTGTCCAGAGCCGGTGGCCAGCAGAAGCAGGCTAAGAAAGCCCAAACCTGTCTCCTTGAGGAAGAAGACAGCCTCTGAACTGGAAGTGTTGATGGAAGGTTCACCTCTCTCTAAGGCTTCCTCCCCGTGGATTCCTGATGAATTGGATCAGAATGCGAATCCTAGTGTGCTGAGAGGCTCGAGGGCCCAGAGATCTCCCCTTAACCCTAAAGAAGCAGCTGGCGCTCTCAGTAACGGCACCAGTGACTTGGGAGTTGAGCTGCAGTGGGGGTCCGGGGACTCACCTCCCAAACTTGAGGACGATTTTACAGAAGACGGGGAGAATGTCGAGACCAGGAGTGCCCTTCTGAAGCAACCTGGCAGGAAACCCAGTTACAAACTGGCACCCAATATACGAAAAGATGGCGTCAGTAAGCCTACAGTAGGTGTTGAGCAGGCTGCAGACCCAACAGTTCAAGATGCCTCTCTCGCCCAAACGTCTCCTAAGCTAGATCTGAGCAAACGGGGTCATCCTAACTTTAGTTCCTTCGGGAGCTGCCCCGTTCTGCAGAATGCCCCGCCCCTCTCCTCCAAAGGCTCCCACCACTGTGACCCAGATAACGTTAACGTTGACGAATCCGTGGATCGCTTTGAGCCAGCCACAGCTTTGACAAGTAGCAGCTTCTGTTCTGCCACTGGTAATCATGTTAATGAAATCTTAGACTCACCCAAGAAGGCAAAGTCGCGTTTAATAACGTACGTGAGTGGCGGCGGGTGCTGGGTGTGTGCTCTGGATTGTTCTCTGGGAGTTTGGCAGCTACTTTTGGTCTCTGTGAATTACACTCATCCATGTCTGAGATACAGCGGGGCATTTTACGCTGTAGCCTCTACTCCTCTGCCTAGTTCTTCCATCCATTTGGAAGCATCAGAGATCAGTTGATTTCTGCCTTATTTCTGAAACCTTGACTTATTCAGGTCATCTCCCCCTCCCTTAGGTACTTTTTTTTTTTTTTAAAGTTTAAAATAAAGATTTGAGGTTTTCAGAAATCCTTATCGTGAATCACATTGTGCTGGCTACCATCTTTACGTTCCAAAATTACCTGTCTAAGGTCAGTGATGTTGGAAATGACCTAGAGTACTCTTGTAGAACAGAAAGTTGTGATTTGTGTTGGTGGTGGTGATGCAAATTCCTGCTGCTTCCTTGTGTGTTCTAGTTCCCTGGCAGATTTCTGTGATGAGAATTTGGAGTTTCTAAACGGCCAGTTAAATCCTGATAAACTGGTCGTGTGTTCCTTCTAACCCCAGCTTCTCCTGGAAAACCTGAACGAACTTTTGTTTCAGTTTAGGAGTTCCCAGAGTAATCCCTCCAGCCATATCCCATGCAAGATTTTAAACCGTGACCTAAGATTAAATTATCAGGAATCTCAAGATGAATACAAAATAGTATACCTGTTATAACCCTGTGACATCTTATAAAAAATTGGATACACAGCGGTCAGTGCCACATAGGTTAAAATGCTGAAAGGAAGTGTATCTGTGCTTCTTGGTAGATTGGCTAGAGAAATCTGGGTGTTTTGCCTACCTGCCTGCCTATGTACCACTTTCATGCCTGGTACCTACAGAAGGCAGAAGGGGTCATCAGATCCCCTGGGAATGGGAATTACAGACTGTTATAAATCTCCACGTGGAACCAAACCAGGTTCCTCTGGAAAAGCAGTCAGTGCTCTGAACTTCCAAGCTGTTTCCCAGCCCCAGGAAATAGTCTTCAACATTACTATGTCTTAAAAACACGAGAAGGTGAAGTAGACTGGAAAGGAAATATCCAGGGGGTTAAAGAGTAGGAATAATTTCTTTTTTTTCTTTTTTTTTTTTTAAAGATAGATTTATTTATTTATTTAATGTATATGAGTACTCCATTGCTGTCTTCAGACACACCAGAAGAGGGCATCAGATCCCATTACAAATGGTTGTGAGCTACCATGTCATTGCTGGGAATTGAACTCAGGACCTCTGGAAGAGCAGTCAGTGCTCTTAACCGCTGAGCCATCTCTCCAGCCCAAAAACTAATTTCAAGACCAGTAAAGTCAAGCCATACAGGAATCAGTTCTCCAGAGTGTCACCAGAATGCTTAACATGACAGGAGCATTTCCAGCCTGCTCTTGGATTGTGGATGAGCAGTTGAACGGGCTCTGGAAATCACTACTGATTGTTTTGTGCAGTCCTCTCTTGACTCTTATGGGTCCATAGCTGAATCAGGACAGCACTCGGGGGACATCCTGGTCACGTCACTGCCCTGGTTCTTCACCTCTTAGAAGCCCGCCAAAGCAGAGGCTAAAGCTCTGAAGCTGGTGCTTCTCTGTCAGATTAGAGCTGGGCTCAGGAAGGAGAAACTGTATTTTATATTGACAAAAAATGCTCACTTTTGAGCCCCACCACCCTCATCTGGTGGCGTTTTTTCTACTGTCCCATTTTTTACGGGATAATTTCTTTATCTAATAGATCACACAACTGTAATTACATTGGGGGGGGGCGGTTTAGTTGATCAAACTTATCTTCTTGAAAGAAAAGAACCCCAGAGCACTCGTGCACTGGTGGGGTTTGGAGCATAGAACCCTTCCACTTTTGAAGCACAGCAGGGTTACTAGCCACCGTGGAGAGAGAGTTTTTTTGGAATAATAAAAAGGTGAATTGAAATAGAGACAATGCAATATGGAAAGGGTTCTGCAGACCGATTCATGACGTGAACTCCTTTTGAACTTGCTTTGAAGCAGTCTCACCCTGTAAAGTTCAGGGTGGGCTTTACCTTTTGATCCTCCTGCCTCAGCTAGCTCAGTGCTGACTCGCCTCTGTATGACCCGGTGCTTGACTCCCTGTAAGGTTCCAGGTGATGCCTGCCGGGTGTCTTCAGCTGTGTTTTTGTTGTTGCCTTTGACCTGGTCTCGGACCCTTGGCTGGGGTGCGCTCATTCGTAGAACAGAGTCCGTATGCGCTGTACCCTTACGCGCATGAGCGCTTGCTTTTCAATCTATAAATCTGGACATACACATGTCTCAGTGTTTGAATCAGCCTCTCCTTCGTTAAAGCTGAGCCCTTGTTACCAGTCATCGGCCAGCGCTAACATTCATGAATATCATTTTTTAATATTTTTAGTATTCTCTCTTTTTGGCATTTTGTCTGTTTGTTTTGAAGCAAGGTCTCACTAGTAGCCCTGGCTGGCCCAGAACTGGCTTGGTAGGCCAGCCTAGCCTCGGACTCCCAGAGCTCTGCCTGCAATGTGCCGAACTTAAAGGTGTGCGCCACCGAGACGCCTGGCTTGAATGTGATATCTTTAATTTGTATCTCACATGATATCAAGAACTGTGCAACTCTTTACATCTACTGGACAAAAGATAAATGTTCTAGTTTTCACAGGACTCTTTCCCATCTGTCTATCTCTTTCCCTGTCTCTGAATTTGTTGATGCATCAGGACCACTGAGCAAGTGAAATTTCTCTGTTTTCTGTTGTAAGTACTTGTGTTGAAGGTTCTGTGTCTGTCCCCCGGGACTGTTGGTCTCCCGCCTCGTCCCCAACTGTCCCCCCTGCATGCTGGCTTCTGTTTGACCTTCTGATAATTTTTTTGCATTTTATTTGCCACATCTTAGTCAGCTTAGCCTTGCAATAGTCTGTAACTAAAGGAGTGGAGATTGCTTTTTCCACCTCAGGTGCAAAAAGCGTGCGGCCCCGGCTTACTTAGCATGCGTCGTGTGGCACTTTGAACCAAAAGCTGCCTTGGTCCCAGTCATGTGGCAGTGATTTGATGGACCGCTTTGCTGCTTAATGTTGGGAATAATTAACATTTTTATTTTAATTATTTGTTTGGTAGGATGAGGCTGCTGTTTTAGAGCAGGTAATACATTTTACCAAGTAAACTTACGTTTGGCTATACTTAGAACATTAGGGAAGGAAGACCATGAATCAGTGACCTTGTACACCCTGCTAATTTATAGTCTCATCTTTGTTTTTCTTTTTCTGTAAAAGAAAAACAGATTGGAAATATTTTTTTTCTCTCTCTTTTGTTGGTCAGAATGGTGTGGGTTCCCCTGCCCCCTGAATATTTGAAGTTCGTTCAAAGTTCATTCAAACATAAGAGAATCTGTAATAGTCTTGTGATCACAAATTATGTACTAGTCTAAAAATCCCAGATGGCCAAGTTTTCTTCAGTTCTGGGCATTGTATACACGGTACTTTCCTTTTTCCTCTTTACTACTGAAGAATGGTAGCAACCTGTTTACTTTTTCCCTTTTCTTTGCTATCTCTCTTGGCCGTAGTTCCTCTCTGTAAGCATCCAGGTCTAGATTGCAGCTGTCTTTGGAGATTTCCGTGGTTTCTAGTGCAATAAAGAATTTTCAAAGAATCTGGTCCAGCGTGGTAATTTTTCTGGTGACCGTCAAAAACCAAGCGAGTAACCAAATGTCACTAGCTGCTGAGGCAGTTCTTAGAGGTACTCAGAGTCTCTGAAAAAAAAAAAAAATTTTTTTTTTTTTTTTGTTTGTACTGTGTAATTAAGCGCGTGGAGTTCCGAGTTCTGGTATCTGGCAATCCATAGAACCGAATGGGGCGGTCTTGCCAGGGAATGAGCCGGGCTGTGGGTCTCGAGGGTACGCTTTATCTCCACGGCTCTCCTGTGCAAGTGTATGATCATGTGATGCTGCGAGCTTTGGCTTCTCTGCCTGTGCTGTGCTCCACCTCATACCCAGAGAGTTGTCATCAGGATTCCAAACTGCCTTGTCTGTTCCTCTCATTTCTAGGAGTGGCTGCAAGGTGAAGAAATACGAAACCCAGTCTCTTGATTTGGATGCGTGCTGTCAGGTAAGTCTGTGCTGCTGGCCAGAACGGGTTTTGTACCATGGGGATGTCTGGGTCTCTGCCTTAAGGAACCTAGTTATTAGAGTCTCAGCGTCTTAAAGTTGTCCAGGAAGACCCTGAAAGAAAAGAAAACTTGGGGGCTGGAGAGATGGCTTCCTGGCTAAGAGCACAGGCTGCTCTTCCAGAGGTCACAGGTTCAATCCCCAGCACCTACATGGCAGCTCACAACTATCTGTAACTCCAGTTCCAGGGGATCAACATCCTCACACAGGCATACATACATGCAAAACTCCAGTGCACATACAATATAAATAAATCATTAAAATAGTACAAATAAATATATATTCATTCATTCTCTCTCCTCTCTCTCTCTCTCTCTCTCTCTCTCTCTCTCTCTCTCTCTCTGTCTCCTCTCTCTCTCTCTCTCTCTCTCTCTCTCTCTTCTCTCTCTCTCTCTCTCTCTCTCTCTCTCTCTCTCTCTCTCTCTCACACACACACACACACACACACACAATGACCTTTTCTTCAATTTGGGGGAAAATAGCTTTAGTGTAATGTATTGGCAGTGTGCAGAAATATTAGTATAGGTTCAGTGAAGGTAGTTGACTCTGATAACCGGATAGCTTTGTTTTATTTTTATTTTAAAGTTCAGGTAGTTTTCTGATTTGTTGCCTTCAACAAAGTGGAGGACCTGAAAATCAGCCCTAAGAGAGGCTGAGCATTGACCCGGGAAAGGGTTCAGCGAGTAGAGTGACATGCTCAGTACAGGACTGCCTGCTGCTTCTTCTTGTTTATAATCAGTGAGAGATCTTCTTACGGCTTCCATCGCTTCCTACTGGTTATAGCTAGAAAGATGGAATCCAGGAACTAAAATGACACTTCAAAGATAATTAAATCTTATCTCACCTTAGTGATTTATGATACACAGGTATGAGTACATGGAGTAATTACAAAACAAAACCCTAAAGACAGAGCATACAAGCCTGACTGTGATGCAGTCTTTTTATGCTTTTAGACTTTATTTCAGTGTAACCACAATTATAGAAACACACAGTACAGTTAAGTTTACTTTATCTTGTGCATTTTATGCCAACAGCTTGATAGGAGATGCTTTAAAAGGAAGCAGAGAGAATTTGCAGTTGGAATTCTTTTTGTGACTATTACAAGTACATGAAAAAAAAAAAGGAAACTTTCCTCAAATTTTGCCAAAGCAGGTAGCACAAACAATTATTTTCAGTTTTCTAAAACAAACGAAAAACCACAATAAAAACAGGTTTGGGCCACATGGCTTTAGTCTGAGCACCTCAGAGGCAGGGGCAGGCGGATATTGATGAGTTTGAGGTCTTACATCGTGAGTTCCAGGCCAGCTTGGTCTACATAGCTCCAGGCTAGCCAGGACTATATAGTAGACCCCATCTCAAAACAAAACCAAAAGCCTTATGTATTATATGGTAAAGCTTTAGAGATTAATTAGTTCAACGAAATCTACTTTTGTGCACGAAAACATTCAAAAGCATGGTAATCATACTTACTTATTTTGTGTTTGTGTGTGTAGAAGTCAGAGGACCACGTGGAGGAAGTAGATTCTCCCATTCCACCATGCGAGTTCTGGGAACTGAGCATCATCCTTGGTGGCAAACTGACCTGCTGAGTCAACCTTGCCATCCCTGATCTTAGATGATTCTTGTAAATCTTACAGTAGTTTAAGGATAACGTATGCATTAGTAGTTATAGCGAAAATCTGACAGAATAAAACTATAACCTTCAGAGACTTACAGTGAAAGCAGTTTTTTAAGCAGAGAAGATAAGAGACCTTAAGAAAAAAAGGCTTAAGGCTGGGCCTCTGTTGGTAAGCTGCTTGCTCTGCAGGCTTGAGGGCTTGAGTCCAGTCCCCAGCACTCATGAGGACAATCAGAGCAGCAGTGATAACTGTCACCCGGGGGCCCAGGAGGTGGAGGCAGGGGCCTTCCTGGGGTTTGCTGGTCAGCCAGCCTAGCTGGATGGGTGAGAGCCAGCTGATAATCTTCTTTTTTGTTTTTTGTTTTTTAAATATTTATTTTTTATTTTATGTATATGCGTGCACTGTTCCTCTCTTAAGACACACCATAAGAGAGCATCGGATCCCATTACAGATGGTTGTGAGCCACCATGTGGTTGCTGGGAATTGAACTCAGGACCTCTGGAAGAGCAGTCAGTGCTCTTAATCACTGAGCCATCTCTCCAGCCCGATAACTTCTTTTTAAACAACACTTTATCCATTCTTGACAGTTTCTACATGTACACTACATTTTGATGTTATTATCCACCCCCGCCCCATGGGATAAGTTCATGATAGAAGTGGACTGAGAAATACAGAGTCAAAGAAAGAAAATACTGTATATTCATGACTATTAAAGAACACGTTTGTGTAGTTTTAAAATGGGTCCTAGGTTATCATATCACTAGAATAACAAAGTTACCTTAAGCAAACTCAGTATTTAGAATAGAATGCCAGGGATTAATGAAAATCATTTATGGTTATTCCAGTATGGTCCCTGAAAGATAATTGGTCATTAACAAAAATAATGTATGTACATTTTAGATGTGACTAAGAACTTTACAACGAGGTAAGTGCACTTGAACTAAGGAGGAGGAATATATTTAAGGAAACTTGGAAACTCCTTATCTCAGACCTCTCGAAGTGTGTGCTTTCATATTTAGGTCAGAAAAGCTCAACTTTTAAAATTTCAGGCCCATACCACAGAAATGAAGTTCTAGAAACAACAGCATTTCCTGTCTGAAGGACTGAAGCTCTCTCCTAGTTTTGTACTTAGATCTGTGGCAAACCCTGAAATGCCCTCATACCATCACAGCCACGAGTCCCGTTCCAAAAGTGTGAGATCTGTGTGTAGCAAAGTGAGACCAAGAGAAAGCCACACATTTATCTTATATAAAGTTCTTTTTGTTTGAGTGTTCGTGTCTCTGCACTACTGGGATTTGAACCCAGGGCTCTTGTGTTTCCCAGGATGAAGGAGCCGTGATCTCAAAGATCTCAGACATTCCTAACAGGGACGGCCACGCTACTGATGAGGAGAAACTGGCATCCACATCGTGCAGTCAGAAGTCAGCTGTGGCTGAGGTGAAAGGTGAGCTGGGGAAGACCCGCAGTACTGTGAATGCTTGGTACTAGGAATAGTTGATGTTCCTGTCTCTACTGTCAGCCATGAGTTTTCATCTCAGGATCAGGTACAGAAGCACAGGCATGCTGAAAGGCCCAAGTCACCTGAGGGACAGTTAGCTAGTACACAGATCTGTACTTTCTTCACAGCAAGAGGTACAGAAGTGCTTACCACAGTCCTAGGCATGGAAACAAGGAGTCGTGTGGAAGGTGTCCGGGGGGATGCAGATAGAATCATCTATCCTTTTGTATTAGTCTGGTCAACCTTAACATATTGTGGCCTATAAATATGTCCTTCGTGTGGCCTTTTGGGATTGTGTGGCCTTCTGGGATCGTTATGCTCATTGATTAGCTTCCAGGCATTATAACATGGAGGTTGTAGTGCTTGGCTGTGCTACCCTAACTCTCAGTGTTCTGCCTGTCGCTTGCCCCCTGGCAGCCTGCTTTTCACCGTCCTTCAGAGGAAGCTACGTACGTTGATCAGGCCCCCTGATGAGAAACTGCCATGTTTGTCCAGTTTTTGCAAGGTTCAAAGCTGAGATCTGTGAGCCAAAGTGAGACCAAGAGAAAACTACAAAATTATCTTATGTGAAGTTCTCTTTGTTTGAGTGTATGCCACTCAAACTCAGGGCTCTTGTGTATGCCAGGCAAGCGTTCTGCCACCAAGCTATATACTCAACCATTGGTTTTATTGAGTTGGACTTGCTGTATAGCCCAGGGTGGCCTGTGGAGGGTTTGTAGGAATGTCTCATCATGACCTCATTAAAGTAAGTTTTACAAAGTACAAGAACCTTCTAAAGCAAAGGCCAAACTGAAAAGTATATGGTTTGGTCTTGACTATTTTTGTGTGTGTGGAGTAGGGGGCACATTAACTGAAACTTAATTATTTTTGATTTTTTTCACACTAACTAAAAGTAATGTATTAGTTTTGATTTTTTTTTTTTTTTGAGCTCAGGCTTGCCTAGAACACTCATGTACGTCAGACTGATCTCAGATGTACAGCAGTCCTCCAGCCCGTGCTTTCCAGGTACTGGGACCACCATGCCCAGTGTCTTAGCCACTTTACTTTTGCCATGACCAAAACACCACAACCAAGACAACTTATAAAAGAAAGCGTTTTCCTTTTATATTTGGAGGCTCATGGTTCTAGAGGGTTCGAGTCCATGACCGTCTTCATGTCATGGTGGGGAGCATGGCAGCAGGCATGAGCCTGGAAAAGTAGCTAAGAACTTATTTGACAATAACCACACACAGGCTGGAAGAGAGGGAACTAACCAGGAATGGCTGGATTTCTGAAACCTCAGTGAAAGTCAGAACCTAATGATATGCCTCCTCCAGCAAGGCCATGCCTCCTCCAGCAAGGCCACACCTCCCCAGCAAGGCCACACCTCCTAGGCCTTCCCAAACAGTCCCATCAGCTGGGAACCACATGTTTAAATATATGAGCCTCAGGAGCCATTCTCAGTGACCTTCCCCTTCCCCTCTGGCCCCCAAAGGCTTGTAGCCACATCATACTGCAGAAGTACACCTAGTTCAACTTCCAAAGTCCCTGTAGCCTTTCAGTCTCAAGACTGTTTTAAAAGTCCAAAGTGTCTTCTAAGACTCAAGGCAATCTCTTCATTGTAACTCGCCATGAAATCAAAAAACAGGTTACGTACTTCTAAACTGCAGTGCTCAGAGTATACATTGCCATTCCTAAAGGGGGGAAGACACGGTGAGGAAACAGCCAACTCCAATCTGTAGCTCTGTGTCCCGTGCCAGAGAGTTCTGATGGCTCTTCCCTTGCAACACACTTTTTTTTTTTTAAAGATTTATTTGTTTTATTTATATGAGTATACTGTAGTTGTCTTCGGACATACCAGAAGAGGGCATTACAAGTGGCTGTGAGCCACCATGTGGTTGCTGGGAATTGAACTCAGGACCTCTGGAGGAGCAGTGTTCTTAACCACTGAGCCATCTCTCCAGTCCCGTAACACACTTCAAAAAGTGGTTCCCCTCCCTGTCTGCAGCTCTCCCCTGCAGATGTCCCATGCTCCAGGTATCTGCAGCATATTGAGATCTCCAGCTCTATCCAGGCTTCACTTTCATTCACAGCTTCTCGTGGTGGCCTCTCAGGACCTCCATGGAGGGATTCCCCTGCCTCACAGCTGACCTCAATGGCTTTCCTTAACCCCTGAGGAAGATTACGCAACCCCTTTACTGCTGTATTCTTGACTCCAAAGCCAGAACCCTGTGGCATGCGTGGCCTCTAGACCATGAGTGGGCCAGAGTCCCACTGTCTTCCACCGTCCTCCAAACCCCCAACATGGTCAGGCCTGTTGAATCAGGAGCCCACACCCTCATATCAGCTTCTGTGTTAGGCTGCTGTGGTCAGCGACTGACCAGAACCCGTGAAATCCTTCACATGCTAGCCAAGAATCTGGCCCAGTGCTTTTTACTGTAGGGCTCTTACGTCACTCCAGAAGAAAGACCATCTTTAGGTCTCTTGTCACACGTGTGCTCTTAAACTTTGCTCCCTGGAAGTTTAGAACTGTGGGGTAGACAGAAAACAGTATTCAAGATTTGACTCTTTGTGAGTAACAGTTTAATTTGTGAGGCTTTATATTTAGAAACGTAGAACTCATGACCTGACCTGCCACTAATCCAGGAAAGCAGGTAGAAAGTCACTCCCTGCAGCCTCTTCCCTGTGCCCCACTTCCGTTTCCACTGTGTTCATTTTTTTTGTTTTGTTTTGTTTTGTTTTGTTTTTCGAGACAGGGTTTCTCTGTATAGCCCGGGCTGTCCTGGAATTCATTCTGTAGACCAGGCTGGCCTCAAACTCAGAAATCCGCTTGCCTCTGCCTCTGCCTCCCAAGTGCTGGGATTAAAGGCGTGTGCCACCACCGCCCAGCTTGTGTTCATTTCTGTACTGTATCTGATGCCTGAGACAGACAGCTTGCGAAGAGGAAGGGGTTACATCATTCTGTGGTTTAAAGTAAAACAGATTTAAACAAATCATTGTGACACTCCGGTAGTGTTTTAAGTAAATATTGACTAGAATAGTGTTTAAATATTGCAACAAGGAGATGTTCAGCTTTATTTTTTTAATGTGCTTTTTAAATTTTTTTCTTCATTGATAGAGTGTCGTCTCCAGCTGTGTCAACCCCCTCCCTCATCCCCCACCAAGGAAACCAGATAGAAAGGTGTGAAGGCAAAAAGAACTTTGTTTCAGGCTTGAGTTTCAGGCTTATTTTATTTGCTACATTTGTTATAGTGTGAGGGTGTCCTCCTGAGGCAGAATGTAAGTGTTCTCAGACTTAGCAGGAGGATTGGTTTCTGCTTTCTGAAATCGGCCAGGTTGGGTAACAGCTCACATGCTAAACTTCCAGCGGACACAAGGGGGCAGACTGGCCATTCCTTCTGCCTGTGGGTGGACAGCTCATGGCCAGCCAGCGCTTTGCAAGTTTGCCTTCTTGTGGACTTTTAACAGCAAACAAGAGTTCAAGAAAGAGAATGCCAGGACACCTCCTAGATATCTTGAGGTTCTGTGTTCGGGTGTTCTGGCCCTGTGCTGGAGTTGCCTAGTCTTCACCAAGAGTGAAGGGACCCACTGTTTGGGATAAGTATAAAAAACTGACTTTGTGTGTTTCAGGCATAGAAAAGGAGACATGCCAGAAGATGGAGAAAGAGGAGCTGGCCATGCATGTAAGTTTCCAAACATGGAGTATTGGGGTAGCCTGGGTTTCTTTCAGTGTTTGGGAACCCATGGTCATTTGATAAATAAATTCTGGTTAATATTAGATGATGAGGAGAAGAAGACATATATGGCTGCCTAGATAGCTCTGCAGGCAAAGCACCAGCTGCCCAAACCTGACCACCACAGAGTTCAACCCCAAAAACAAACATAAAGGTGGAAGGAGACGATGAACTCCACATAGTTGTCTTCTGACTTCTGTAGCATGCCATGGTACATATGCCCACTCACACACGCATATATGTTATATACAGTTTCTTCATCCACAGAACCTACTGTTTTGTGTCTGATGTTCTTTAAAACAACCACTAGCCCCATGTGGGTACTAACAACTTGAACTGTTACTCTTTTTTTGTTGTGTTTTGTTTGTTTGTTTGGTTTTGGTTTTGGTTTTTCGAGACAGGGTTTCTCTGTGTAGCCATGGCTGTCCTGGAACTCACTCTGTAGACCAGACTGGCCTCAAACTCTGAAATCCGCCTGCCTCTGCCTCCCAAGTGCTAGGATTAAAGGTGTGTGCCACCACTACCCGGCCAGAACTGTTACTCTTAATTGAGATAGATACCTTGTATAATGTGAAATATAACCAGCCTTTGAGGACTTGGTACACAAGAAAGGAATATTTGGTAAATGTTCCAGTAGCTTCTTATATTGACTTCTAATAAAATAATGTTTTTGGATACATTGAGTTAACTGTGCTATTAAAATCAAAGCTGGAACAGTAGTTCACATCTCGTAATCCAGTACTTGGGAACCTGAAGTGGGCCCCAAATTCAAGACCGTCCAGAATTTTAGAGAAAGTTTTTTAGTTGCTTTTCCATCACTGTGATTAAACATCACAAATAGGGTAACCTGTAGGGAAAGGGGCTCATTTCGGGCATACAGTCCCAGAGTTTGGAATAGTGGAACAGAGGTTGTAGGGTACTGTCCATGAGTGTGGAGCAGAGTGCAGGTTGCAGGCAGCAGGTAGCTGGAGCTCACAGGCTGGAGACAGAGAGTTCACTGAGAATGCCAGGAGACTCTTGAAGTCTCAAGCCCTCCCCTAGTGACACACCACTTCCATTAAGGCTGAACCTTCCTAAAGAGCCATCTGTAATCCTTAGTTAAGTTTCAACATTGCTCACCTAATCTCCCTTGTCTGGAACCAGCTCCAGCTCAGGCCCTGACTCTCCCTTAATCTACGATGGTTCTTCAGCTTTTGTCTGCAGAGACCTCAACAATTTTTGTTGTTGTTGTTGTGTGTGTGTGGTTTTTGTTTTTTTGTTTTTTGTTTTTTTTTTACTTGAGACAGGGTTTCTCAGGGTAACCCTGGCTGTCCTGGAGTTCACTGTATAGACCAAGCTAGCTTTGAATTCAGAGATCCTTCTGTCTCTGCCTCTCAATCTTGGGGTTAAAGGCATGGACCACCATGCCTGGATGACCTCAATGGTTTTCAAGAGTGATGGCTAGTTATTATTGGTTTTTCTTTTTGTGTATATATATGTGTGCATGTGTATGTGTATGCTTGCATGTGTGTGGGTGCATATGCATGTGTATACATATGCTATGGAGGTCCAAAGTTGTTATGAAAGCTTTTCCTTTTTCCTTTTTTCTTTTTATCTTTGAGACAGGGTTGATCTGGGTAACCCTGGCTATCCTAGACCTTGCTCTATAGACCAGGCTGGCTGTAAACTCAAGAGATCCACTTGCCTCTGCTTTCTGAGTGCTGGGATTAAAGGCATGGATCACCACTGCCCACCAAAGATCAGATAGATTTGCCATGTCTGCCTAGTTAGGCACTGAAGTTAGTAATGCATATTAGAATCATTGCCAAAAATAGTTGAACAGGTCCACACAAGGCATCTAATGTGAATGGGAGGGTTATCAGCAGCTCACAACTTGAAATGTTCTTGAAAAATTATTTGCATGGGACACATCCCCAGAAAACACCAGAAAAATGAGGCATTGCAAGCATGCTTCCTTTATGTCTGGGATTCCTTTATGGAAGTACATTCTTCCTTTCCATAAAAAGAAAGCCTCCCTAAGGGACCTACTCCTCCAACATAAGCTCACCCCAGTAGTCATTAGAATCGTTTTCATTAGTAAGAACTGTAACTAGATTCCTTATTTAAAGCGTCCCTTTTCCTGTTTATTCTACATGCACATTTTTGAAGAGTCTGATCTTTTTTTGGTGAGGATGTTACTGAGAGCCATTTGGAGTTAAGTAGCTGGAGATTGACCATGTTACGTACAACCCCTGTCCCGCAGGGACTGCTGGAGTCCTCTTCAGAAAAGGCCCCCGTGTCTGTGGCCTGTGGGGGTGAGAGCCCCCTGGATGGGATCTGCCTCAGTGAAGCAGACAAGACAGCCGTGCTCACGTTGATCCGAGAAGAGGTAAAGTTGTTCTTCTTCTGTCTGCAGAAGGTACCGTCCCTGTTGACTTGCTTCGCCTCAGCCTGCAGGTCTCCATTCTCCGTGGCCTGTGTGGCTCACAGAAAGGGCTCCCCGTAGACTTCTACAGCGATGCTGGCATTCAGGGAGCTGACGTGCTGAGGTCACTTCTCTGCACTTCTCTGTCCCCTGCTTTTCCCACGTGTACTCATGCCTTAGAACTGTGGGCGTTTAGCAATGGGATTCCACATACCCTTTAAGAAGGTCAGCATCCCAGTTTCTGTTCTGTGGTCCTGAGGAGCCTCTGTTCCAAGTGCTGAAGATCCGTCATTGGATGGTGCCATCCTCAGATGGCGCTGTCCTCATCTGCCAATCTTCTGTGCTGTCTTTGGCATTTGGGTTTGGCATTTAAGATTCCATATTGTTTTAGGAAATAATTTTTTTTTTTTTTGCAGTACAATATAGGCTGAGAAGTGTTTCAGTTACAGGGCTTTCAAAGCTTTCTGAAATAATTTTACACCAGTGATTGGGGAATGCCAGGTAGTCCAGTGGTCAGCACTTGGGAGCTGTGTTCAGGAGACAGAGTTTTGTTGGTGAGAAGAATCACTGTGTCCTTCTTCCAAGAGTTAAGCTATGAGGTGATGTGTAATAGTCCCAAGGAAAGCTGTGTTTAGTCAGCTGAAGCACACAGGGCAGCCTCTGGTTGTTTCTTCTTCTTCTTCTTCTTCTTCTTCTTCTTCTTCTTCTTCTTCTCCTCCTCCTCCTCCTCCTCCTCCTCCTCCTCCTCCTTCTCCTCCTTCTCCTCCTTCTCCTCCTCCTCCTCCTCCTCCTTCTTCTTCTTCTTTTCCTCCTCCTCCTCTTCTTCCTCTTCCTCCTCTTCCTCCTCCTCTTCCTCCTCCTCCTCCTCCTCCTTCTTCTTCATTTATTTTTTGTGTATGTCTAGTGCCCATAGAAATCAGAGGGGAGCATTCAATCCCCGAAGCTGAAGTTAAGGCAGTTGTGAGCTGCTGTGTGGGTCCATTGCAAGAGCAGCCAGTGGCCTTAACCTCAGACCCATCCCTCCTAGCCCCATCTTTCTGTTCTTGAGATCCTTAATATAAGCACAGACATAGAAGATGTTCCAGTTAGGAAGGAGGGAGCACCTAGGGAGGATGGTGAGAGGAGAGGACTGGGTATCCCTTCCATCCCTGTGCAGGACAAGCAGAACTGAGACATGGAGTGGAGAATTCTCCTCTGCAGTCATCAAGAGGGTCTCAGATATGAAGCCGGCTTCCAGTCAGATTAGCTGGATCTGCATGTACTGGTGGTCACACAGTGGGGTACACCCTGAGCCCCTTTATTCTAATTCAGTTCTTATCAAGCGCTGAGAAATCACTATAGAAAAAGAGTATGCATCTGTATGTGGTGGTGAGTGTGAGCCCAGCACTTGGGTGACTGAGGCAGGAGGATCACAAGTTTAAAGCTGTCCTAGGATTTATTCTCACTCAGAATAAAGACAAAAATAGCGACAACAAAAAAAGGTGTTTTGAGTACCACTAGAATGGAGGGAACTGTGCTGTTCACCCTTACGTGGTGGTTATCACAGCAATCTGTGTCACTCTGAGTGTGCTCTCCCGGAACCGTATGAACATGATATACAAACGATGACATGCACTGTGTTCCTAAATGTTAATTGAATATCTTGTGCCAGACTGGGTCATGTATTATTTTTCAGTTTCCAGTAGATTGAAGAGGTAAAACAAAGCTTTATTGTAATCTAGATAATCACTAAAGAGATCGAAGCAAATGAATGGAAGAAGAAATATGAAGAGACCAGAGAAGAAGTCCTGGAGATGAGGTTAGACTGGCGCAGGGGTGGGGCTTGGGGATGAGGTTGGACTGGCACTGGGGTGGGGCTTGGGGATGAGGTTGGACTGGCTGATATCATCAAAAGTGTTTGGAGTTCAGGATGTAGCTCGGGCAGAGGACTGCGAACTTCACTTACCCAAGACTAGGGTTCTGTTTCTAGCACCAAAGACATAAGCCTTTTTCATTTCATTTCTTTTCTTCCTTTCTGTCTTGAGCTAAGAACATTTAACCTTCTTGAACTTTAGTAAACCTTATGTGTAGAGGAAAATCCAAAGAAGGGTGGCGGGGCGGAGATACTGGATTATGTACGTGTTATTATATGTTAATGAATTTCAGACAGCTTTTCTCTGGCTACCTTTGCTTTCTTCTGATAACAAAACAAGTTCTAGTATTATAACTATAATAAATTGCTTTTTTTTTTATTTAGGAAAATTGTGGCAGAATATGAGAAGACCATTGCCCAAATGATTGGTAAGGAGGAAGGTGGTTTTTTGTTTTGTTTGTTGTTGTTGTTATTTTTTGAGCATGAGCCATAGTGCCTATCTGAGTCTGCTCAGATTGCGGTAACAATAGACAAACACTTGTTTCTTACAGTTTTGGAATCTGTGGAGTCCAGAGCCAAGGTCCTGGTAGGTTCTGTGTCTGGAAGGGCCTGTTCTTTCTGGTGCCTTCCTGCTTATCACTACCCCATTCCTGGAGAAGATAGCTAGCTGTCTAGAGTCTTACTTCCCTCACTTGCTTTTAGAGATATTTGATTTATTTTAATTTACATGTATGTGTATACCTGCATGAGATTCTATGAACCAGGTGCCATGGATCCCACAAGAGGATATCAGATCATCTGGAACTGGACTCACATGTGGTTGTGAGCTGCCTAATGTGGAGCTGAACCTGGGTTCTCCACAAAAGCAATACATGCTCTTAACTGCTCAGTCATCTCTCCAGACCCTCTCTGGCTTTTTAAAAGTGACACGTCATAATTGTACACATTCTGGGGAGCAGTGGGGTACCTATTGTGGTAACTTGTAATGAATACAGTGGCCAGTGGTTAAGGTATTATAGCCAGCTTTTGCATTTCCTTAAACGTTTGTCATTTCAAGCCCCACTCTCAGGTGGCTGACACAAGGGGATCTCTGTGCATACAAGGCCAGTCTGGTCTACATAAGTTCCAGGCTAGCTAGGGCTACATAGAGAAGCCTGTCTTTAAATTTAAAAACAGAAGACATTTGTCATTTCTTTGGGAGCATTCAAGTGTTGTGTATTTTGAATCAGCTCATTTGGAACTAGGTCCCATATGTCTAGACAGAACATTATGTTAGTGGGAGTATGTGGCCAAGCAGAAAGCTGAGAGAAGCAGGAAGGGGCTAGGCCAAGATAGTACCCTTCAAAGACATGCTCCAGGGTAGCCTGGAACTCTGTATAGCCCAGGCTAGCCTTGAATTCAGTGTTCTTAGCTTAGCATCCCAAGTACTGGCACTTAGTGAGTCCATTGTGTGATGTAGTGTGGCCAAGCCAGCTCAGTCAGTCTACAGGTTCTCAGGGGGTGAGTGGTGGGTGGGAGGGATGGGGGAGTGGGGATGAGGGAATCAAGGATTAAAAAGAAAAAGACAAATAGACAGCACTGTAGTGTGACCCCCGTCAGTTCTAAGGCTGAAGTGGGTTTATTTTTTCCCAGTCTGTTTTATACCATTTTAATTACATGCAAGTAGTAAAGTCAGTTCTAGGTTAAGGAACAAGCAAGACAATAAACACAAATAGTCAAGGAACAAGCAAGGCAATCACTGTTTCTAGGGGCTTATCAGGATGACCAAGATATCTGAGCCCACTTTCCTGTCCTGGCCCAATGTCAAATTCTTGCCAAGTTTCTGGAAGTGGCCCCTGAAGCTCTCCACAGGAGTGTGTTAACCTCATTTCGAGCTCTGATTTCCTTCCATCAGACCCAGTAACTTTACAGAGAAACAGTAACCAGATCGCCTGTGTTGAATGTAAGGCTCCCATGCCCTTCTTCCTGGGTATCTGCTCCAGTCTCTCTGAGAGGCCACCTGGAGAACACCAGCTGTTGTCCCCACCTTTCCACACCCTGCTTGCTTGTCACTGTGTATCCTCCCACTAGGATGTATGTTCTCGAGAGTGGGGACACCTCAGCCGTGCCCCCTTTCCCAAGAGTGCTGTTTGGCACACCTGAGTGAGTCTGTGTTATCCTTGTTCCCTTTGTCTTTTGATTCCAGAAGACGAGCAGAGGACAAACATGACCTCTCAGAAGAGTTTCCAGCAGCTGACTATGGAGAAGGAGCAGGCTCTGGCTGACCTGAACTCCGTGGAGAGGTCTCTTTCTGATCTCTTCAGGAGATATGAAAACCTGAAAGGCGTGCTAGAAGGGTTCAAGAAGGTAGGTGTCCTTTCTGTCAGAGTCCCCTGGGTGGCAGTACAGCTTCCTGCCACATGTAAGCAGCGGGTGGCCTTTTCTGTGGGGCTCAGCATTGTTGGGTTTGTTCTTTGGATTGTTCACCTTTCGGTATTAGTGAAAGCAGAAGAAGAAATTCTAAGCCATGCACTACAGAAATGAGGTGGGGTGGGGTTATTCAGTTGTGTACTGTCAGTCAAAAGTGTTTCAGAATTTTTTTTCCTGTCAGGCGTTACACAAGGGCCTTCAGGGCTCTGTACATGACAGGCTGTACGACTGATTGCTGGGGCTTGTAGGCCTAACATTCAGGAAACTGAGGCAGAAGGCAGAAGGATTGCAAAGCCAAGGCCAGTCTGGGCTGCATAATAAGCAAACCAAAGAAGATGGTCAATGAGTGGGTGGGTGGGTGGGTGGATACATACATACATACATACATACATACATACATACATACATGGGATGAATGATAGATGGATGGGCCTGGCCAATCACCTAATACAGGACTAAGAGAGAAGCTGTATTAGGAACTTGAAGGCCACGGTATTGATACAAATTAGTACATGGAGAACCTATATAGGCTTTCTTTCGTGGGGGTTGTAGAAGCTGTTGAAATTGCCATGGATTAGGAATTAAATGCATCCCAATGGAGCAGACTTACTCTTAAAAAAAAAAAAAGTAAAACAAAAAACAGAAAGAAAAAAAAATTAGTGAAAAAAAGCCAACCTTGTGCTACACTGTGCAGGAGAAACAGACATGCATGTTTGTTTTGAATTTTCACATTGGCACAGAATGAAGAGGCCTTGAAAAAGTGTGCTCAGGATTACTTAGCCAGAGTTAAGCAGGAAGAACAGCGATACCAGGCCCTGAAGGTTCATGCAGAGGAAAAGCTGGACAGGTCAGTGTGTTTTGCTTGGTCACTGTTGCGGGTGGAGGCAGACACTTTGATCTACAGAGTTCCATCCTTACACCTTTTGCCTCTGTCTTCTTGGTGACAACCTCAAGGGTTTTGTGGATGTGTGATTTTATTCCTCTGCATGGATAAACCATTACAGAGTATAAAAAACTGTGTATTCCTGCACACAGCATCCTATCTGTTCCCTCCCCTCCTGACCACTCTGCTCATCCATGTTGGTATTCTGTGTCTTTCTTCAGACATACATGCTAACGCCCTTCGTTTATCTTTCCATGTCTGAGAGGACTCTCTCCCTGGCCTGTCTTTTTTGGAAGGGATCCACTTCTGCTGGACATTGTGGTTACTAAACTTGTCCTGGTGCAGAAGTGCTTTAGGGAGTAGAGGTGTAGGCTGCCCTTTTGTATGCCTTTTGTGTCTTCATGAGGAAAGACAAGGAATTGGAATTGGGGAGCAAACATGGGAGTTACAATAGTTAGACATACCTCAGTTTATCCCTCCCTAGTATATGAGAGTGGCTGTTTTCCCTAAAGTTCTGCCAGCAGCTCAGCTTGTAGGTCATGGTCGATAGGTGGAAGTGGAGCCTTCTGTGGGGCTTGGCAACATAGCATTACTTTTATTCACAGTAGTTTTGCTTTACGTTATCTTAGTAAAAATTAAATGTGTTTCAGCAGTCATCTGTTTAAACACCTACTTTACCATGATTGGCTCTTGTTTGCCCTTCCTGTTATAACTTAGTGTGTCATATATTAGGGGCACCGGCTTTCACTGTGAAATGTAATTCATTTTTCATTTTTCCAACTTAATATTTATGTGTGTGTGTGTGTGTGTATGTGCTGACCCTGTTTATGAACGAGAGAGAGAGAATGTTTTGTTTTTAATGTCGTGGGATTGAACCCAGACTTGGCACATACTAGGCAAAGAGCTCTACCATAGAGCTTTATTCTCAGCTTTGCAGTATATTGTGATGTGCAGAAATATGTTTTGTTTCAGGTTCTTTGAGTCAGGGTCTTCCCGTATACTTCAGGCCGACCTTGAGCTTGCCTTCTGAGTACTAATCTTTTTTTTTGGTTTTTCGAGACAGGGTTTCTCTGTGTAGCCCTGGCTGTCCTGGAACTCACTCTGTTCCGCCTGCCTCTGCCTCCCAAGTGCTGGGATCAAAGGCATGCGCCACCACCGCCCAGCTCTGAGTACTAATCTTAATGGCATGTGACACCATATATTTAAATGTATCAAGAGTCACTTTGTTTGCAGCTTCTGGTTTCCCTTTCAAAGTGTTCCAGGGAGAGAGAATTTTCTTCCCATTTCCCCTTCTAACACTCTTAGGACTTTTCAGTCCTAAAGTCCAGTAATACATTTTAGAATTCACCCCAGGGAATAGTGCATTTTTTTTTTTTACAAGATATTTTAAAAGATGATAGCTCGCTGTGAACTCCTGCTTCTGCTGGGACCAAGAGACAAGTGCTGCCACAGTCAGCTTCCACCCTAGTTTCTAACTAAAAAGTAATACAGTTGGTGCATTCGGTGGTCCATGTTTCTAGCTTCAAAAATGTCTCTCCTCTACACTCTCTTATGACCTCATTAAGGATTGCGTCGTTGTGTGTCCTTGTGTTATCTTTGTGCTTTTACAAGCTACCCCAAATGGTATCTTTCTGTTGTTGTTGCTTTGAGATATACATGAAAATAGCCTACAAATTTCCCCTGTCATGTCGTGATGTGTTAGAACCATTTTCCACAGCTCGGTCTAATTCGCTTATTAGACAGAGGCATCTTTTTAGAAAATGCTTCATTTATTTTTATTTCATGCATGTATTTTGTGTGCATCACCTGCATGCCTGATGCCCACGGAGGCACCTAGAGTGTGAGCCACCATGTAGAGCCTGGGTCCTTTGCCCGAGCAGCCAGTGCTCTTAAAACACTGAGCCAACTCTGGCCGATATAGCGTTTCTTTACTGATGAGCATTTAGATTGGCTCAAACTCTCCGTGTTGAAAACAGCCACATTAGCAGGTTATTTTTGTGAAGAGTTAGCCAAAGATGGAATTGCTGGTTCATAAGGTGTGTATAGTTTGGGTTTTCTTTGTTCCCATGCCATGCCTCCCATCCTTCTTATTGCGTGTCGTTCTGTCATTCTTTTCGTTCTTAGGACAATACAATACTGTACTTTTGTCCACCCACTCAGCAGGCACAAGATCTTGGCTTCAGTCATCTCCCCACCCAACATTTAGGGGCCCCGGCTATCACACAAAGGGCTTATCACTTTAATGTTTACGTCTCGTTGCTGGTGAGGCTGTAGCATCTTTATCGATTTTAGCCGGATGTTTGTTAAGTGACCTGTTTCCTCTCGAATCTCATTGATAAAGGTACTTTCTGAGGGCTGTAACTCACAGACACCCGTATCCTACTGTGCATTTAGGGCAACAGTTGACAGTGGGAAAGCCTGCAACTATTCCACGTGAGAGACTGTGTCAGTCTCATACAAAGGTTAGACTGCCCCCCGGGTGCTTTGCTGTAGAGTGGCCTTCATGCACCATTTACGTGGAAAAAGAGGTCTGTTGAACAACTCCTTTAAAAACTAGGATTGTTATGAAATTACCTAATTTCATTTTCCTCACGAAACAAAGCTTGAAGGATATTGATTCTGCCACCAGGATGTCCCATGGATATGTGCTTAGTCGTTTCATATAAATTAGATCACTGATTCCTGGCTTTCCTCTGATCATGCAGTCAGTTATTTTGAGTTTGTGTAGAATTTATTTATTTATTTATTTATTTATTTTATATATATATAAGAATGTTCTGCCTGCAGGCCAGAAGAGGGCATCAGATCCCATTATAGATGGCTGTGAGCCACCGTGTGGTTGCTCAGGACCTCTGGAAGAGTAGCCAGTGTTCTTAACCACTGAGCTATCTCTCCAGCCCCAAGTCTGTGTTATGTGGAAATCAGTAATTGGCATTCTGTCTTCCTGTCTCTTTGTCTGTCCCTGATCACTAACCCGTGTCCTTCTTATCTCCTCCCCAAACAAACCCAAATCACAGAGCCAATGAGGAAATTGCTCAGGTTCGCTCCAAGGCGAAGGCTGAGAGCGCCGCTCTCCACGCCGGACTCCGGAAAGAGCAGATGAAGGTGGAGTCCCTGGAGAGGGCCCTCCAGCAGAAGGTATGGAAGGGTCTGTCACGGAGGGGCTCCTGTCGCTGATGCAGGGACATCCGGCTGTCCTCCTCTGCTCTGGCTTCTGTCAGTCCTTAGTAGACTTAGCTTTTCACGGACCTGGAGGAAGGAATGTGGCTTTGCTCGTTTCACTCAGACACTGCAGGCCGGCTCCCTTATGAAGTGATTCTGGGGACACACATTACATTATTAACCAAGGGAGTCCTCAGCCGCTGCTAGGCTTCAGAAGGCAAACGGTGTGTTTTTAACGAGGAGTCCAGGGGCTTGGACACTTGGTCTGGGGCCCACAGCTGTGTTTCATTCTCGATGTGAGTTTTTGCGCAGTAAGTGAAGGATCGTTGCGTTCACGGCTGTGGATCCTCGGTCTTCAGAGCAGATGTTTCTTCCAGGGGCACCAGGCTGTGCCTAGAGACTGAATTTGACTGTTGTAACTGGGAGATGCTCAGAGCCTCTGAGTGGGTAGAGGCCAGAAACACTGCCAGGCATCTCATCATGGACAGGACAGCCCAAATCGGATCACAGCCCAACATAATTGATGCTGAGAAGTTGAAAGCAGAGATAATGTCACCAGGCTCAAGACTGGCTGCTCGCCATCAGACATGCCAGCAAAACAAAGAGACAGGGTTGAGGCAACTAAGGTGATTTCATTTGGAAGGCAACTGTGAGAAGGTTCTTGCCCAGGCTGCCTTGAGAGAGCTTTGAGGAGGGGGCAGGTGCTTAGTGTCCCAGCTGATGCCCGCCTCTCACACCCACCCCTCATGTACTGGACTTAATGCTGCATATTCACTCTTAACCTCCCCAAGATGCTTTTCAGTTCTGTGGTCAGTTCCTCAGGGTATTTGTGACAGATGTGGAGACGGGTAGCTGCTCCGAGGTCCTCTCGCTGACCCCAGACTGTCATGGACATTCTGTGACACCAGTTGTATTTCCCTCCAGTCAGCAGTTTTCAGGGTTTGAATTGCTGTATTGTCTGTGTGCGTTCACACAGTGATGCCCTGAATTACAGCTTGTGTCTGGTAGCCGTTCCTCAGAGTCTGGAATCCCAGTCCCTGAAGCTACAGGCGGATTAAGTGAAATCCGCATACTTGTGTTTTAGAAAGTGACCCACACAACCAGAGAACCTGGGACCTAATGTTTATGGGTAAGCTTCAAGAGGGCTGGTGGCTCCCCGGTCCTCAGCTCGGTTTCAGCATAGTACTGTGTGAACACAGACACACTTTGATGGGTGGGAGGCATTTGACCACCTTTTCTGTAAAGACTGTGATGCAGGGAACGGGAGAACCACTAGAATGCCTAAGGAGGGTCTAGCCACTGGCTTTCCCTCTCAGAACACAAAGCAGCCTGCAGAATCATCATCTTCTGTCTTTCAGAATCAAGAGATTGAAGAACTGACAAAAATCTGTGACGAGTTGATCGCAAAGCTGGGAAAGACCGACTGAGAGTCGTCCCGTGAGCTGTGCGGGTCCGAGTCTGGCTGCTCCTGTTGTGACCACATTACCTTGCCTTATCCAGAAGTAAGCACCCCTTCGCAGAGAAAAGTAACCGTTTCAAAAGCACATGCCTGCTGCTGCCCCGTCGGTCCCGCTGCTTCACCGCAGCAGCCGCTGTAGTCTGACTGGAGAAGAGGGAGTCACGCAGAGATGGAGTCACGCAGAGATGGAGTCACGCGATCACAGAGCCCTGCGACCAGGCTGCCAGCTGCTGGGGCTGGCTTGTGCTTCTCCAACTTGAGTTCATCTAGCTGTCGTCTTTGCTTTTCCCAAGTTTGTGGAATTTCTAATTTTGTGGCAACCGTGTGGGTTTATCTCCCCAGCTCCTGTTTGATATTTTTATGACCTACTTAATCTTTTAAATTTTCAGTATCAGCAGTTTTATCGAAGGGGACAGTTTGACCCATCATTACTAACACTTTGACGATGGGGCTTTAAGCTCCCTTTTCTTTACAGACTTACTCATGCATGTATGTCTATAATTGCTGCAGCTTTTCCCCAGAGGCGCATCCAGATAAGAACCTCTAGGGAGGAGGTTGGTTACATAAATAAATGTAGACTCTTATTTTGAAACAGAGCCCTAGGTCTAAAAGCCAGCTTCAGACTTGGTAGGGGTTGGGAACACGGCTCCTTTGGTAGCGTGCTTCCTGTGCACAGAGCCCTGGGTTTGCCCCCCACCCCCAGAACTACAAACACTGGGTATTAGACTGTATGCCTGTAATCTCAATACTCCAGAGGGGGAGTCAGGATGATCAAGTCCAAGGTCAAACAAGGAGTGAGTGGAAGCATGGGGGTGTCCTAGCTAGTGGGAGGTAGGACAGAAAGATCACTTGTACCCAGAGTTTAAGGACAGCAGTGTACCAGGCAAATAGTCCTTTTCACAAAAAACAAACACCCAAACCTGACTTGAGTCAGGGTGGAGAGGCTGAGGATGTGAAGGCCAGGGGGCATAGGGTAAGGAAGACCTGCTGTACTGTCTCCTGCCCCAGTATTTGGTTACCCCAGGACCTTAGCATTGGCCCTTTGTGCTCATACAGAAAGCAGTGTCACATGACCAGCAGCGTGGGCCTCCCTCAGATCTGGTCTTGGACCTATTAGTCTCTAAAACAAAAGTCAACTTTTGTTATCTGTTTGAAACACACACAAATGGGACTTGGGAAAAGTTTAGTTGCTCTTGTTAAACTATGATAGAAGCCTACATACCAGTCAGAGATCAAAGAGCCTTGGTTGTCCATGCTTACAAGTGCTGTACCCTTTTAGAGACTTAAAACAACAAATGCTTTCGTACTCGAGATGGGCTTTTAAACAAAACAGGCGGTAAAGAGTCCTGTGGTTCATTCTCCAAATCAGCCCCTCGAATATTTTAAGCAAAGACCGCTTGAATGCTGGGGAGGGAAGCAGGGTCCACACAGACAAAACGAAATTCTGTGAACTCATACTGGACTTACCCTAAGGGACATTAACCCCCAAATAGAACTTTCCCACATTGATAACAGTGACTTCCTTTAGGCCAAATCTATTGAAGCTTTGATACTTTTTTTTTTTTTTTGCCTTAATCTTACGCCCAAGTCTTCATGGTAAATGTGTGCTGTTCAGTATATACACATATCCCTCCTTATAAAGCCATTGCATGAGCCAACTGCAGCAATGAATTGTGCCTCGTGGAGAGCCTCCATAGATCTTAAAGACAGTGCTCCTTTAGCAGTGTGTTACCGTGTGCCGTCACCTTTAGCTCCAGGGAAGTAACGTCTCCGCAAGCTAGAAATCACATTGTGTCAATATGCATTTATTATAACCGGTGCTTAGGCTAGGCTGTGTTCTGAGGCCTACTGTCTTTTAACATTTTGTACAAAAAGAAAAAAAAAGAAAAGAAAAAAAAACCCACAAGCAGACAGAAGTTCTCTGTGGTTGGAGAAATGGCTTGACAATCATTTGGGCTCTGAATTTAGTCACAGCGGCTTAACGTGAAGCCCGTAGCAGTAGACGTAGTGTCACGTTCATGTGTCTTCAGGGGAAGTAACCAGTGTCAGCTTAGCCGTCTTCCGCACAGGAAGTTAAATTTTGCATTTTAAGAAAACACTGCAGGAGTTTTTGCTACAATGTTCAGGCAGCATCCGTGTGTGCTCATTTTATATATTGACTTATTTTCTGTATGAAAGACTTAAGAGTGGTCTCCATCGTAAATCTCTTGTTTCCTGAGTTTTGTTGTGGTTGTTGTTCTGAGATTGTACCCAGGGTCTTGAACATATTAGGCAAGTGCTTTACCGTGGAATTGCATCTTCCCCGGTCATCTCTTTAAGCATGCATATTTTTTAAAGTGTCCTGTGCTGTGCTGTATGTTACCAAGGCACAGGAGAGGAATGGTGACTGTCCCTCCCTGCCACACTGGCGGACGGGCCCTGAAAACCAGGCCCTGCTCATTGAAGCTGCTGTACAGGGGACATGAGCTAGCCCTTTAAGCAGTGTTTGCCAGTGGCCTCTTAGTCATCACTATTACCAGGAAATGTTCACCACTTCCAGCTTATGGAGATCCTCCAACAAGAATAAAAATGTAGTGTGCACAGCTGGCAAGTTAAGAAAATACACTAGGCAGAGTAAAGTCTATTTATTTATTTTTCTTAATTAAAATAAGCCCTAAAAAGCTTTTTAGCACTCTGGAGAGTAAAAATATAAAGTCTTCTTCAACACATCATGCTGGGGGGGCCAAAAGCTTCTTTGTTAGGCAATTAAATGGGGGGACCAGACATGGTGGCACATGCCTATAATCCTAGCACCCTGGAGGCAGAAGCAGGGACTTAACGTTCAGGCCTTGACTGGGCTATACCGTGAGACCCTTGTCTTTCCAGGCTTGAGAGCCAGATCTGTGACTCAGTGGTAGCGTTTGTCCACCACGCGCCAGGCATTGTTGCCGATCCCCAGCGATGTAAAAACAACAGAAAATCTAGAACACAAGAGAAACGCTCAGAGTGGCTTGGGAATTTGAGGCGATCTTGTTGAGACTCTCAGCCTAGAACCGTCTCTTCAGTTCTGCTTTGCCGAAGCGCAGACAAGTTTTACCCGTCAGTATTACAGACTGACCAGTTTACCGTGGGTCAGAAGGCAGTGTTGATTCTGTCTGGAGACCTGGAATTCCCCTACACTTCGTATTCTCTGAAGCTCTAGTGTGGATTCAGGCATCTTCAGAGACAGACCAAATTAGGAAGTGCTGAAGCACACGGTTGGGAGGCCTGGACTGGAGCGCACGGGATGAAATCTCTGATTTCAGGAGTCTAGCTTAAGCCAAGCTTCCTTTCCAACCAGCAGCCTTGTTCTCCCTGCAGACTCGCCACTGCCTGTGCACAAATGCTTGCCCACTAACTAGGCAGCCCTGGGTTGAGCATGGCAGGCCGAAGCCTTCACTTTCAGCATAGATAGCACAGGCTGGAAAGGGCACTCTGCGGTCCACAGGCTTTTCAGGATCTGTGGCCCAAGTTCAGGGCGTACTGAATTGAAAGTGGTATGGACCTTCTGAAGCCCTCCTCCCTAGTCCCCTTAGGCTCATTTCAGCTGGTGACCTTAGGTCCTGCTGTCTCTCTGTAGGACTGAGGCCCTCTGAGCTCCCTCTCAGGTGTTTGTTTGTTTGTTTGTTTGTTTGTTTTGTTTTTAATCTTCTTGGGAAGAGAGAATGTAGATGTTGAAAGAGTTAAATGATTTAGGCAAGGAATTTAAAGATGTATATATTAATGAAGAATTTTAAGGGTAACAGATTACTATTTACTTACTAATGAACAGGTAAGGTCTGGGAATCCCAGAACGCCAAGCCAAAGGTCGAAGAAAGCACCTTTCAAAAAAAGTTTTAATAATGAAGTTATTTCAAAGGAGACTAATGTCCAAGAAAGGTTTGACTGGCCTCCAGATTCCGATTCTTTTTTACAAAGCAACTCACCAGGGCCGGGGACGTAGCTCAGTTGGTGACACATTTGCTCAGCATGCACAAGTCCCTGGATGTCATCCCCCAGTGCTGGGGGAAAAAAAATCAGAAAAAAATTTTTTTTACTACTAAGTCCTTCCTGTATGGAGAGAAAAGGGAAACGGGTATAGAACCAGGTCTTCTCCATAGGCTCTCTTCTAGAACAGTACAGGCAAGCACTTGGCACTGCATAGAGTAAAGACTGCACTTCTAGAAGTTTCCATCCAAATGCAGCCCCCTGTCCGTGCCTCTCAGCATGCAGTTAGATTTGGACAAATAAGATTCCCGAGGAATGACTTCCTTCATTGCACCATGGTTTCAGCTTTATGTAAACACATACACACTCCAGTTGTAGTTGTAGATTGGAGATGCTGCTGCAGTGCTGGCCTCAGGTAGTCTGTGTGATGTTTGCACCACTCAGAGGAGGCCAAGCGTGGGGCTGAGGTCTGGCCTGAACCTTCCCTGTATGGTGTCTTCAATACCAACTCTCAGGATGCCACTCTATCCCCCCTGCCTTCCTATGGTATCTGAGTATGCTCGGCAAAAATGCTTCCCCCCTCACGGAAGTAACCGATTCAATATTTGTGAGTAATTTTTTCAAATGGACACATAGAAATCTGAACTCTGAAACCCACATCCAGACCAGATACAGGGCAGCGTAAAGGTCATACCCTCAGCCTCAGCTTTGTCCCTTGCAGTCCTTGGGACAGGATTCAGGCACTCTGTTAAGTCTCCAAGGCATTTGTCAGCTTTCCAGTATTGCTGTTAGAGAGTCTGTGTTTGCCAATAGATACCCACTGTACTAACGTGCCAAGTGTTTATTTGCACATCTGCTCCCACTGTGTCCAACAACCCCCTTCCCCCACCTCCTGGTGCCCTGGAGTTCATGAGGAGACTCTCACTGGGTGGGGGGGTGGGGGGCACACACTGCATTGACTCCTGCTGTCAGGACAGTGTTGTGTGAATAATCATCCTCATAGATTTTATACACATAGTAATTTCCCTTTTTATATGTCAGGTAAATATTTGTAAAAGTTATACTCACACAAAAGAAATTATTATGATAATTACTAATATATTTTTTCCATGTTTCATTGCCTGAATAAAAACTGTTTACCACTGTTGCATCTGGGGTGTGTTGTTTTTCCCTGGTCGTCACTTGTTTTATCCTGGACTGTTTATGGAAGCCTCCATATTTCTGTCTGAAAATAGAAAACATGACATTTTCTTGCACTCGTTTTCTGGGGCTTCATGCATTTCATTGGGCATGTAATTGAAAACAAAACAAACTCTGGAATTCAGACCTCGCCATAGAAACCACCATGACGGCATCTGTGCAAACAGAATTTTTGCTGAGTGCTCTGTGGTCTCACCAAGAGTCGAGTCCACCCTGGCAGTTTTCAAATCTGCAGAAGCCAAGTTACGCCAAGCTCTTCTAACTTGCGGAAGGACCCAGGGTGAGCTGGAGCTGTGTAGAAAATAGCTGGTGCTTCATGGGTTTTCTAGGTTAGTCTGAGAAGAGACTTTAAACACTAGTCGGGGTTGGCTCTCCATCTAGGGGTGGGCCAGGGTTAAGCTGGAAGAGGGGAGTGAATCGGCAAGGAGATCAGGCACTTCCCTACCTGCTTATTGTGAGGCTCTGCAGCCTGTGGTGGTCCTGGTTTGAGGGTACAAGGTACTTCTCACCAGCCCATGGTGGTCCTGGTTGGGGGGTGGGGGAGGTACTTCTCACATGTGTGTTCTACAACAGGTCTTGTTTTCTTAGCATTATTGGGGAAATAAGATGAAAATTTGCCATCTTAGATAAAACCATCCCCATTTTTTACAGTCAAAAATGGGAGGCAGGCATTGTGGTGGTGCATGCTTTCAATCCCAGCTCTTGGGAGTTAAAGGCAGGTGGATCTTTAGGAGAGTAAGGCCAGCCTGGTCTACGTACAAAGTTCAAGGACACCCAGGGCTACATAGAGAAACCCTGTCTCAAACAAAGACACCTTTGCCTGATGGAAATTTTTGGCCTGGAAGGTTGAGGTAAAGGTTTAGCTTTGGTTTGGGGGAACACATAGTCCCCTCATTTAGGTAATGAATACTAGCAGGGAGCTGAGGGGTGGTTTGTTTTTTTTTTTTTTGTTTTTTGTTTTTTTGGTTTTTCGAGACAGGGTTTCTCTTTATAGCCTGGGCTGTCCTGGAACTCACTCTATAGACCAGGCTGGCCTTGAACTCAGAAATCTGCCTGCCTCTGCCTCCCAAGTGCTGGGATTAAAGGCGTGCGCCACCACCGCCTGGCCAGGAGCTGAGGTTCTTGAGTTCACAAGTTTCTCTTTTAGAAGCATTGTCTATGAGGCAAGAAACTCCTTGCCACCATCCTGGAAGCTATGATCCTGCCTCCTGCATGTTGGATTACAGGCTTACATTTCTCTTTTAAAGTCACAAAACCTGCCTGAGATGTGTCTACTAAAAGCAGATGTACCGGAAGCATGTTGTCTTTGGCTTACATGGTCCAGAAGCATGATGTTGTTAGTCCATGTTACAATGACGGAAGAATCTGGCTTTCTATCCCAGACTGAGATCCAAGTCTAGACTAGATATTGTACTCTATATTGTCTTTTTCTAAGTTTGCATATTTTATGTGTATGAGTGTGTGGTGGTTTAAATAAGAATGACCATCATAGGCTCACATATTTGAATGCTTAAGTCACCAGGGAGTGGAACTATTTGAAAGGATTAGAAGGATTAAGAGGCGTGGCCCTGTTGAGGAAATGTGTCACTGTGGCTTTGAGGTTTCAAAAGGCCCTGCCATGCTACGGTCTTTGTGCCTGCAGATCAGAGTGTCAGGACAGCCTCTGCTGTCCACCTGCCTGCCACCATGCTCCCTGCCATGATAACAATGGACTGAGTCTCCGAAATAGTAAGCAAGCCTCCAACTAAATGACTTCTCTTACAATAGTTGCCTTGGTCATGGTGTCTCAGCAATAGAAAAGTGACTAAGACAGGTTGTTTTGTCTCTGTATGTCTGTCTATCATATGTGTGCCTGGTGCCCCTGGAAGCCAGAAGAGAGTGTTGGATCACCTTGGGTTGGAGTTACAGGTGGTTGTGAGCCACTGTGTAGGTGCTAGGAATCCACCGTCGGTCTTTTGGAAGAATAGCCAGTGATTTTAACCACAGACCAAAGTCTCTCTAGCCCAAGCCTGCTTCACTTCAGACCTTCCTTAGTTTGTACCCAAGTGAAGAAGAAAATATGGTTATATTCTCCTGAGTTCTCTCCCCAGAAACCAGTGTCATTCCAACCAAGACTACCAACATTGTTATGGCTCCAGGAGACACTGGCAGTCTTCCTGAGAGATGCCTCCTGAGAGAGACAAGTTACATTTCCCACATCTCAGCAGCACTGAGGTCTTAAGACAGAAATGTATCACAAATCGTCAGCTGTAAGGCTTTGTGTAGAGTTAGGCATTTTTGTTCTACACACCAGAAATGATAGGAAGTAGTCTTTGTAGCTGCAATTAGCTAATGTGATGTATACAGACAGAGGCATAATATTTTGCTGAAGAATTAACATCCAGACAGCCCGCCCCCCTCATGATGGTTGATACAGAACATGCCTTCTGTTTTGCTGAAGGGCCTTTCCATTTGTTTTGCATGGCCAATTTTGAATTCCCCAGAAACTGAATTTTTATTTTAATTTTTAAAATATTGTATTGGTTTTTCAAGACAGGGTTTCTCTGTTTAACAGTCCTGGCTATTCCAGAATTTGCTCTGTAGACCAGGATGGCTTTGAATTCAAAAGATCCACCTGCCTCTGCCTCCTGAGTGCTTGAACTAAAAGCATGTGCCGTCATGCCCTGCCTTAAAGTAAATAATGTTCAACCAAAGGGGTCTATTTCCCAGGTAGCATCAGCTTCGATGCAGATATGCACAATGGCCACTAGGTGGCTTCGCTCCCAAAGGCTTCCATACGGTTTTTCCAACTGCAGCTCAAAACTTGTATTTTGGAGGCTGTCCTTAGCTTCAAAAATGAAAAGCAAGCAGGAGCTGCAGTGAGTATTTGGTGTGCAAGCAAATCTGGAGGGTAAGTGCTGTCCACAGCTTGTATCAATCACACGTGGATTTGTGCATTGCTGCAGTTGAGGGTTTGATTTTTAAAAAAAGATATTTCTGTTTTGCGTGCCTGTGTGCGTGCATGTACTCTCGTGTGTATTATATGCATGCCTGGTGCCCATGGAGGGCAGAAAAGGACATTGGATCCTCTGAAACTAGAGTTATTGATGGTTATGAGTCACCATGTGGAACCTGGTAGCCAAGCAGGTCCTTTGGAAGAGAAGCAAGTGCTTTTAACGGCTCACCCAACTCTCCAGGCTCTAGATTGCGGTCTTTAATGCCCTGAGCAGGAGGCCTGGGAGTTTAAGGTCATTCTTAGAACTTTAAAAGCCCACAAAAGGAAAAGCAAAGACTCTTTCCTCTCTTATGCCAGCATAAACCAAACTCTTCCCCTCCTGTGGCAGCAGAGGGCAGCCTGCTTAGGCTCAGAGCCCTGTTTCTGTTCAGGGCCTAGCCTTGTGGCTGCTGTGCAGCTAGGGATAGTGTGACTTGCAAGGGTAAAGGCCTGGGTTCCATGCACAGCACTGCAAAGTTAAAAATGAAACGTTTCTCGGAAGCAACAATTCGCTCGGATTCCAGGTTCTCAAAACTTAACTTTTCTGCACAGTTGAGGTCTAAATTCCAAATGTCTCTATGAGCGATAAGCCATCTTTTATTTAGTCTTCACTTGATCTGAGTCATTTTCTCTACCCGTCAGTGGCACTGTCCTCGGGCATAGGCTAGTTAAATGACTACATGACAGAGTCATGTGTTAGCCTCATAGATTACAGAATGGGAGAACATTGAAAGTTGAGTCCTAGGAAGGGGGCAAACCCAGGAGAGAGTGGGCTCATACGGGACCATCTCATACAGGTAGAAAATAGCGGTTGGTAAGAAAGTTAGGCAGTTGGAATATTTGTTAAAATAGCCACTGACTTCTCCGAACACCTTAGCTGTGGGACTATCTTATACTTAGAGAAGAGCCGTTGGGGTTCTCAGGTGTCTGATCAGTCCTCCCTGCCCCAGGATGGTGTGGGGTCCGGCAGTCTCCATGGCTGGCCCCCCAGACCAGCAGTCCTGGAGGTGCTGACTTTCTCTCCTTTCTTTTCCCTCCCCTTCTTGTATTTGCCCCTCAGCTCCTCCTTCCTCCTCCCTCTTCTCCCATCCTTGCTGCTTCTTGCTTTTTTCTTTCTCTTTTCCCTTTTACCACAGGAGGGATGGCTCTGTCTGTCTGTCTCTCTTTCTCTCCCTACCACACCTAAACCCTGTTTTCTCAATTGTCCTAAGAGGGTACAAGGACCGCGAATCCTTCTGCTCTGTGTTGGCAACAGGAATTACTGCAGTAAAGCAGGGGTATCATGAGCAATCTCACTTCCAATATACACGTCTAATAACGCCGTAGAAATTAGGAAAGGACAAACCAATATGATGAATTAAACCATCAAATGGAGAAAAGCTTTTCTTTTCTGTTGTTTCTATGCATGCTGCCGCTGTGCAGCCCTGATGACCAGGGTTCAGAGGAGAGCTGGGGTTAAGGTTTGGCTGGTGCCCCTTCAATCCTGCCAGTCCCTCTCCTCACTTTGCCAGCCAAAGACACCAGGAATCCGTCTAGCTCCAGAAACATGATTGCTGTGTGAAACCACGTATTAGAATATATATGTGCAAAACTATGTATGTTAAAATCTATCTGTGTAAAACCACACATGTTAGAATTTGTGTGAGTGGAACTATGTGTTAGAATCATCATTGTCACCTAAGAGGCTGGGAAGGCATCATTGGCTAAGCACCTACATGGTGGCGCACAGTCTTCCATATTTCTAGTTCCAGAAGATTTTATATTCTCTTCTGAACTCTGTGGGTGCCTGGTACATATGTGGTATACATACATGATGCAAGCAAAACACTCATACACATAAAATATAAGTTAAAATTTTTTGAGGGGGGGTTATGTAGGGGTCTAATACCCAGAAGAGAACTCTCTCTTCACAAGGAGAAGGGGAGGGTAGAATGGAGGGGGGAGGATCTGTGTGAGGGGGTACTGGGAGGAGACGAAGAAGCTGATATTGGGATGTAAAGTGAATAAATAAATTTAATTACAAAAAATTTTGGAGACAGAGTCTGGCTGGCCTAGAACTGACTATGTAACCAAGTTGGCCTTGAAGTCACAGAGGTCTTCCTATCTCTGTCTCCTAAGTACAGGGTTTAAAGTTGTATACCAACATACTCAGCCAAAAAAATGTTTTTAATATAATTTTTTAAAAAGAATTAAGAGGCAGCAATGGCTCAGTAGGTAAAGGTGCTTGCTATCAAGACTGAGTTTAAGCCCCAGGACCTACTTGATGGACAGAAAGAACCAGCTCCTGAAGGTTGTTCCAACATCCACGTGCACAGCGTGACGAGTACACATAGATACACACGAATAATTCTAAAAATTTAAAATTATTTGATTTTTTTTAAATGAACCCTAGAATTGTCCCAGCTGCGTGACTTCAAATGACCTCCATAGTCAACTCAAATCAGCGACACAGCCATGAATGATGCAGAACTATCCAAGCTTGGGAACTGAAGGAAGGGACTTCAGGGTTCATGTCTGAGTGGACAGCGGTGATCTGTGCGCATGGTCCCACCACCCCCACCACCCCCACCCCACCACCACCCCCCGTGACAAGGGTAAGCTTTCTGAATTAAGAGTCATTTAATATAAGTTTTATTTTCTAGTTTCCTGTGAGACCAGGATGGGACACAGCAGAGGAAGCAGGCAGCTGAAGATGTCCCAGAGAAGATGAAGAAGCCCAAAAGAAAAGAGGGTTCAATGGCCATAGTGTCTGGGCTTTTCCCGCAGAACCATTAGTCGAATGATTCTCAACCTGTGGGTCGCGACCCCCTTTGGGTACCATATCGGGTCTTTCCATTATGATTCACGACAGTAGCAAAATTACAGTTATGAAGGAGCAATGAAATAACTTTACGGTCGGGGCGGGGAGGGGGGTTCACCATAGCATGAAGACCTGTATTAAAAGGTCACAGCTTTAGGAAGGTTGGGATCTGCTCGCTGTTCTATTAGTGATGTGACTTTTTCTGGGTCCTGTCGCACTATGCAGTTTACAGTAGACCGTGTTTTCTTAACCCTAACTTGCAAATATTATTTTTAAATTTCCATATGAAAAGCGACTAGCCCATGCCATGACAGGATCCCGGACAGAAACAACTTAAAAAAGACCGGCAAGATGGCTCCGTGAGTAAAGGCAACGCCCACCAAGGCTGGGGATCTGAGTTTGATCCCTAAGATCCACCGGGTGGAGAGAACCAACTCCCACCAATTGTCTTCTGACTTCCATGCATACCCTCCTATTTACTAAGTAAATAAACGTGTAACGAAAATTTTTAAAGGAAGGGGAAGGTTTATTTTAATATGGTGTGAGTGGATTCATTATGAGAGAAACAGGGCGTGGTGGAGCAGCCAGGCTCGCTCCTCGGCGCACCCTGATGGAGAAGGCGTGTCCATAGACAGGCGATCTCCTTACTTTGGTTCCTTTCTGCTCTCCCAGCCCACTGGATTGTACCACCCATACTGACAGTGAGTTGGAGGTGTGCTTCGCCGGTGTCCTAAGTGATTCTGAGTTTCACTATCACAAACATCAGCCTATGACAAAGCAGAACTCTGTGACCCGCCTGCTACCCAGGTCTCACTTCTGGAAGTTTCTGGAAACTGCACTGAAGTGGAAGTTAGTATTTTAATTTTTTCATAGCGTCTAATGGGAACTGTGGGATACACTGTAGTGACCGGGACTCAGTCACGAGTATCACACAGCTAGAATAAGGAAGCTCTATCGTAGCTTGTCTTCACACTTTGTAAAACAGATGTTAAAGTCAAACTTTCAAATATGGGCCTTTTACAAGCTGAGATTTATTGTATTCCAGAGTCACAGTCACACTAAAATAGTTTCAGGGGTTGACAATGAACGAGAGTTCAAAATCGGTCACGTAGGATTGGGATGGGGTGTGGCTCAGTAGTCCAGGCTGGCCTAGGGAACTTGTTAACTACCTGGGGCTAAGGTTTTCAAGATCAGGGAGTGCACGAAGGCCATTCTGACCTTCTCTTTTCTTCTTGAAACCCAGAAATGAAGCTCATGGAAAAGATCTCCTTCCTCTTGAGAGGAGCCAAGACGTCTATGCAAACTCAACTCCATAAACCGGCCAGCATCTCCCAAGTTCCTGTTCCCCATCTTACTATTTTTTTAAAAATCCCATGTAGCTTATGAGTGTTCATGTCTAAAAGTGTCTCCTTTTCCACTGGTTCTCAACCATCCTAACACTGTGACCCTTTAAAACAGTTCCTCATGTTGCGGTGATCCCCCCCAACTATAAAATTATTTTTGTTACTACTTCATAACTGTAATTTTGCTACTGTTATGAATTGTAATATAAATATCTGGTAATATTATAAATACAATTATCATGATCCGAAGGGGTCTCGGCCCACAGGTTGAGAACTGCCGTCCTAGGGTCTTCAATTTTCTTATGAGGGTACTTACAAACTTGTAAAGTCTGTGTGCTTTTCCTGTGTGTTACTCCGTCTTGCATCAGCTCCAGCTGGATACTGTAGGAGAATGGAAGAAAATGTACCTCCTCTGAAGTGCTTTTTAACTCTTATTTTAAAAACTGGGTTAAGTAAATTTATTTATGTTGTGTCAGTTATATTTTTGTTAGCAGTTAGGGTAGTCTGGGAAAAAGGAACTCCATCTGAGATAATGCCTCCAGCCGATTGGCCTTTACGCAGGTCTGTGAAGCATTTTCTTGATTAATGGTTGAGGCGAAAGGGTCCAGCCCGCTGTGGGTGGCGCCACTCCCTAGGCAAGTGGTCCTGGAAGACATAAGAAAGTTAGTTAAATCAGAGCCTGGAGAGCAAGCCAGTAAGCTCCCTTCCCTGTAGTCTCTGCTTCAGTTCCTGCCTTGACTTCCTTCGGTGATGACCTATGGCATAAGTATAAGCCAAATCAATCCCACCCTCACCCCGGAATGGGTGAGTTCATTTTGGTTAGTATTTTTATGACAGCAACAGAATGCAAATTAAGACCTGTCTCTTTATGTGTTCATTTTGAGGCAAGGTTTTACTGTGTGGTCCCCTGGTTGGCCTCAAACTTATGATCTTCTGCCTCTGTTTTCAGTCCTATCTTTTAATACTAAAAGCAACCCCTGAGGGCCAGAGATACGGTTCAGTGAGTAAACCTTGTGCCACATAAGCCTTGTGGAATCCTGGGAACCCATATAAAGATGGGAGGAGAGAACCAACTCCACGGTTATCTTTAGACTAACACTCTTAGGCCACAGTGCATGGGTCTACACATCACACACACATGATGATGATGATGATGATGATGATGGTGATGATGGTGATGATGAACTATGCCTGAGTTTTGGGATTCTTGGCATGTGCTGTATACCCGTAAAATTATTTTAAATGAGTATATAAATACAAAATCCTCAATGTGATGGCATATCCCTAGAATCCTAGTATTTGGGAGGCTTAAGCAAGAGTTCCAGACCAGTCAAGGTTATATAGAAAGACACTCTAAAAATTTTTTTAAAAAATCAAATTTAAAAAAAAAAAAGTAGAAAGTAAAAGAGACGGGGGAGGGGAGGTAAGAAGATGGTAAAAGGCTTTTGCTGAAAAGTCTGATGACCAGAATCAGTCCCTGGGACCCACCTCAAACATGCCTCCGCGTCCTCTGCCCTCCACAAACATGCCCTCTCCCTCTCTGTGTGTCTTCCTCTCCTTCCTTCCCTCCCTCCCCTCTCTTGCACACACATAAGTAAATAAAAAGAAAACAATTGCGCATATTGATAGAGTAATTTGATGTTCCGAGCCATATAAACTTTGTGCAATGTTTAAATCGGGTTAGACACATCTGCTGTTTCTCAGATATTTGTTCTTCATGTTAAAATACCAAACACGATTAACAGAAGAAGTGACCCATCAACTCCCACTACTGTGTGATTTATGGTCAAAGAAATGAATCTTTATCCTGAGCACAAAATATTACTGCCAAATGACAGACCGTGAGAGACCAGACCCCAAGGGAGCAGACCATGAAAAGACAGATGTAAAGAGACCAGAGCCTGAGGGAACAGAACGGAGAGGCCAAACACTGAGAGATGAGACCACGTGAAGACAGATTATACGAGACCCCCAGGGGACCCTGGGAGACCAGATTCCGAGAGGAGACCATGAGAGACCAGCAGCTGACAGGCAAGATGGTGAGAGAACAGACCCTGAGAGACCTGACTCAGGGAGTATGGGGGGGGAGGGAGGGAGGGAGGCAGGGAGAGAGAGAGAGAGAGAGAGAGAGAGAGAGAGAGAGAGAGAGAGAGAGAGAGAGAGAGAGAGAGAGAAAGCAACCCTTGAGAGAGCAGACCCTGTGAGGACAGAGCCTTAGAGATCTGGTTCTGAGACAACAGACCCTGAGAAACTAGACCCTCTGAGACCCGACCCTGAGAGCTCTCCAAGGCGACATGAATAATACAAGCGCTGTCTGAGCTCACATATTAACTGTGGCAGAAATAGGATAATTTCTCCGGCCCTCTTTCCATGGATCCACTTTCACTTTCTGAGTGCCCCGAAGGAACCTAGTGGTGTCTATAAACTTTAAAAGTTCACGAGATTTAGCTGTAGCTGAGACGTAGATCATTTGCCTGGGACCCAACCCCCAGCACAAAGGGAAAAAAAACAAAAACAAAAAACCAGAACGAGAAACGTATCATTATTTTGACAGATACACTGGGTTCTTGTGGAGCTCCCATGGAGGTGTGCTGCATTCACCGCAGCGTCAGCGGCTGTTTGTGGTAGCCTGGGTGCCCGAGATGTGTTTTAAAACTGAATAGCAGTCTTCAAGAGGGAAATCACGCCAAGTCTCCGTAGCAACATCTCCCGGGCACACAGATGCACGACTCTAGTGACAGCAATTTGGAGGTTGGTGTGGGAAGATCGTGTTCAATAGAAACGTCATGGGGATGGAGAAACTCGAGATCGCTCTTGGAGAGCTGTTGTATTAATTTTCCTCCCTTCTCTTCGGCGACCACTAAGCTTCTTTCCAGCATACGCAAGAACTCCTCTGACCTCTGTGATTAGCCTTGGTCCATGCCCTTGTTCGACTCCAAGTTTCCACTTGAAGAATGGGTGTACCTCTTCTGACTGGGCCCCTCCACCTTAGGAGGCCTGGTTTTGGATCTAGCACAGGAAAGGTGACCTTGAGAACAGGAGACTTCAGAAATTAAGGGAGATATTTAAATAAATAATAGCGCCCTGTGCGGCCCGCCGGGACAGTACTTGACTAGCATGTACAAAGCCTGGGGTTCGGCCTACTGCGTGGTATGAGGTAATCTGTAACAAACAGAGGCTTCGTGTTGCCCCGAGTAGCCGAGTAGCTGAGAAATGGGGAAGCGGGCGAGCAGGAGTCAAACGGAGATTTAACAAAGGGAACAGGCTAGGAATCGGTGTAACTGGAACCTTGAGTTTCCTTAAGAATGTGAGAAGAATTTTGCAGGGGGGGGGATGTTTATCTTATAACAAATCTAAAGAAAAACTGACTGACAAGCAGGAATGGAAATGTCACTGGGTTCCCAGCAGAAATGAGCTCATAAGCTAACAGGGGCAGGATGCGCTCCAACTCTTAAATGTATTTTTAAAGGCCCCTTTAGGTTTTTAAATTGGCTCCAGGAAGAAGCCAGGCCCTTCTCCCAGGGGAGGTATCTTTGCAAACATGAATAGAGGAGTCTAGAGGCTTGCTGTGTCCAATGGGGTAGCAGGTGCTGAAGGCAAGGGGCCAAGCAGAACGGTTCTGTTCCTAGCGGACTCAGTGACAAATTCTGCCAAATTCTGAGGTCAAATGTTTGGAATTTGAGAAACTCCCTCTAGGCCCCTGTTTATTCTATTTTCCTGGACACTAAGTCTACGTGAGAGATGTCACCAACAGAGCTCACAAAGCATGTCCAAGGTCTTTGACTGGCAAACTTGGGAACCAAAAACCAGCATGATGTGTGAGTTTGAGCCATAGTAAAGCCTGCAGTTAAGCAGCTGAAGACATTGCCCACTGCAAGCAGGAGGCTGGGCGTCTCAGGGGAAGGGGACCAGCTTCCTGAGACCAAATATGGTGGGTTTGTTTGTTTGCATGTTTATTATATCATAAGCTCAAACCATAAGTTAATAACTTGCAAGCATAAAATGAGCTTCAAACATTAGAATTGGGCCAGGTGAGGTGATCCATGCCAACAGTTTCAGTACTCTGTAAATGGAAAAGGGAGGATGGTGAGTTCAAGGCTAGCCTGGACTATAAAATAATGAATTTGAGGCTAGCCTGGACTACATGGTAAGACTCTTGTCTCAAGAGGAAGAAAGAAAGAGAGGAGGAGAAGAAGGAAGAGGAGCAGGATGAGGAAGAGGAAGAGGAAGAAGAGAAGGAAGGGGGGAAGAGGAGGAGGTGAGAGGAGAATGACACCATCGAATATATCTCCATGATAGAACATTTGACTAGCATGTTTTGGGATACAACCCAGCACTCTTTGTGTGTGTGTGTGTGTGTGTGTGTGTGTGTGAGAGAGAGAGAGAGAGAGAGAGAGAGAGAGGCAGACAGACAGACAGACAGAGACAGAGAGATAACAAGCCCAGGAAAACTAGCTTCCCCAGGTATCACTCAAGCTCCAAGTCTCAAAGAAATGTCACCTGTCAAGACTATATCAAATGCAGAGACCCAGAAAGATGTTGCCTCCCTCCGCTCCCAGTGAGGACATCAAGGGCATTGGTGAGCCTGGACCCTGGAGTCAAGGGACTGGTCTGGAGCATCTCTTACAGGTGCTGTCATTTCAGGAGACTCTTACCTCCCTCCTGCAGAGCCCACAGCTTCCACTCCATTTCACGTCTGTTCCCAAAGCCTCTTCTCTTTGCTCTGGGCCACCTTTGTCACTGAGCATTAGGAAAACAGCTGGACAAGGTGATGCTCCTTGGAAGGTAGAGATGGGAAAAATCAGGGGTTCAAGGGCATCGTCAGCTACATAGTGGGTTTAAGCGTATGGCTTGGGCCTGTAGGGGTAATATATAGAAAATGGCATCCAGTCAGGCTTTTTTCTGGGCAGCCGCCATGTTCCCACTGCTCCTTGGCTCTGACCCTGGTTCTGGCTAGCTAGATGCGCAGGCCCTGACACCCACGAGACACCAGCATGGGGGATGGCTCGCCGATCTACCACACTGCATCCACAAAGCTTGGCTAAACCCCAGACAATATCTGTCATTCTCACAGTACCAGTAGAATGAAGACTCTTAAAGCTTAAAATGATTATCTAAAGGATTTACATATTTAGAAATGCTCAATTAACAAGATGCCCACACAGTTAGAGTTGATACCCAGTATCTAACCTTTTGATAGAAGTTGCTACCCAGGACAGCTTTCGACCCATCTGTGGTTCTCCATGGTCCATAGCCTCCTTCTTCTCCTCCCCTTCCTCTTTTTCTTCCTTCCCCTTCCTCTTTTTCTCCCCTCCCCTTCCTCTCTTTCTCTCCCAGCTCCACCTCCTCTTCTACTGCCTAATCACAAAGCTCCACTGGGAATACAATGTAGCAGAATAAGTATCCTACTACATGGGCCACGTGAGATTTCACACACACTCCCCAAAGTCCAGAGTATTTGCTACAAGTAATTGGTCAGCTTCTCATTGACTCTTCCTTTGTTTCCTGTTACTAAATCTTCAAGGTCCTTCTCCATTGCCCTCTCTGGGGTGGTAAGCCTTGCTCCCTTGAAAGCTACTGGGGACAGTCATAGACGGGCCACTCCAGACCACACATCATCTGGAGGTCAGGGTTTCCTGTGAAGGGCCCTGAATAGAGGTGGCCTTTTCTTTCAAGGTTTGCACTTTGCCTACTACAGGACACCCAGGCAGGGTGCCCTAACACTAGGGGAAAAGTGTGAATGTGACTGAGCTCAGAGGGTGGCTTTTGTTTGGTTTTGTTTGTTTATTTCTTACATCCTGCTTTTCCTTTTGGTGTTCTGGGTCAAGTTCTTTTTTTTTTTTTTTTAAAGATTTATTTATTTTATGTATATGAGTACACTGTCGCTGTCTTCAGACACATCAGAAGAGGTCATAAGATCTCATTACAGATGGTTGTGAGCCACCACATGGTTGCTGGGAATTGAACTCAGGACCTCTGGTAGAGCAGTCAGTGCTCTTAACCTCTGAGCCATCTCTCCAGCCCCTAGGTTAAGTTCTTATATGAAACCTAGGCTAGTCTTGGACTCCTGTTTCACCCATTTCAGCCGCCAAGCACTCGGAATGCAAGGGAGTTCCACCACAGCCTGCCTCGTTTTGGTTTTTTGAGAGAGAGGTAAGCCTAGTCAAAGTTGTCACCAAGCAACTTAGATTTGAAACTATTATAATTATTATTAAAAAAAATAAAATAAAACCTAGCAAATCTTTCAGTGACGGAAGTCGCTTGTAGCCTGTTGGGGGAGACACTGCCATAGCCATTAGGGCCGTCACTACAAAAGGCAGTTTTTAATATTACCAGTAGTTGCCTGTAAGGATCTGTGACCTCATAAATATATACAATTACTGTGTGTACATTGAAAACAAAAATGGTAGTGGTATATGAATGACTATAATCCCAGTAATGGAAGAGTCTGAGGCAAGAGAATAAAGTGCTAGAGGGTAGACCATGCTGCTGTCTCATAATACTAATCTCAAGTAGACAGACAGTAAGAGCACTCACATAGAGAAACCACAGGGCTCGCTGGAGGAGTCATATCATATGTCATAAAGCCGACTTATTGTCTGGTCAAGACTTGAACAGAGAACTATCACAGTCACCTGATGTTACAGAATCAGAAGAGACAGTTTGAGCAGAGTAAGTGGGTCTTGTAGAATCTAGAGTTTTTCTTCAGGACCAGGTGTAGCAGGAGAGACAGAGATGAAGTGTGTGTGTGTGTGTGTGTGTGTGTGTGTGTGTGTGTGTGTGTGTGAGAGAGAGAGAGAGA